ATATATTTATACTGCCCTCTTATGACTCTGTTAAGTAACTCCAGTTCAGTAATAAGCAAATCGTAACAATAGTAAAGCAGCAAGCAATGCTAAAAGTCTAAAAGCAACGTTAGTGTGCGTCAAGACGCTGTTGCTTCTTAACAGCAATACACGTTCCAGAGCAGCTCGTACGCAAGACACCTCATAGATGGCAATGCAGATGCATCAATTAGAATGATAAAGCAATTATGAACGCTTAAGTTTGAAATGCTTTCCAATTATTACACAGTAATTACTTATTGTACCAGGCAGAGTGTCACAACAAAACACAGAAAGTTCCCAAACTGCACGAAACAATCACAAAATATCAGTCATAAGATTGGTAAATCCATTAATGCACCAATTTATAATTTCTTGTAAACAGTTCACAATAGCAACGAGATAACAATCACAGTTCACCACTATAACGAGACACTTAAGTTGATAAAGATTTGATAAATATTCTCTTGACAAATATAAATATATCGAATAAATTATTAAGAGCTAGTACAAAGACAGTGTTTACTTGTAAGCGCCCTCTGGCGGAAGAAAGTAGTCTTCTTTAATGTAAAAATGTGTATCTTTTAGTGTTTTTTTTTTGTTTGTTTCAATACTTTTGGCTTTGTACCTGAATGTGTTAGTTATTTTTATATAGTTTTATTAAAATGTATGCCATTGTTATAAAATCAAAAAGAATCTAAGATAATTTAGAACGGTTATTTGAATGTAATTATATTTTACGGTATTTTAGCTAATTTGTTTTGTTTATTTGTTGCTTTATTATTGCTATTTCTTAAATTTCAATATGAAAATAAATTATGATTCGAATCATTATATTTTAGAGAAATTATATAAGACTGTAAAATAATATTATATAATAATATTAGGGGGACCAAACCACTACATTAGATTTGATAGACCACAGATCCTTGCAGCTGAGCGGCGGTTCGTTCCTCGAATGATGCGCGAGGCTATTGAGATTAAAAAAATATCCAAATTTCAATAGGGAAGATGGTTGGTATATACCACCAACTTGGGAACCTATTATACAGGAGATAAAATTCCAACCCCGAGCACACACTGCAAGTCCATCAGATACTATTAGTTCTTTTTGTTTGCATAATTTAACATAAGAAGGAGATAGAAAGCCTCTCTTGAGTTTGTTTCGCCGGTTCTTCTCAGGAAGGTCTCCCAATTTTGGAACCGGTGGTAGTTTACGGTAGTTAGGGTCAAATAAATAAACTCAAAATTACAAACAAGAATTTTAAATAAAATACTTTAATAAGTAAATTAAATAATAAATTCATACATAGACAATAAAACTTAAAAATCGAACAATGAAGTAACCAAACGCTCAATAAAAGTCTTTCGAAGGTAGCTCGACAAATTAAATAAAAGTTTTATTCTGACGACGAAGCCTGTAAAGGCTACGAAACGTCAATAAATAAATAAAGTTTCGTGCATTAACCCGTAAAAACTAGTTTTATTTAATGAGTGATGTGCGTGAAAACCTAAGAAACAAATATAATAATAAACCTGTCTTTATTGTAAACCAAATCGCGAACGGTCTCGCTTGATGCAGGATGGCCGAGCTGTTAGCATTTTTATAATATTAGCATTTTTTACAGATCGGTCAATAGTACAGTTATTGTTTTTATCTTAGTTTGTCTGTGCTAAATCACGCCACATCACCTTACCTCCCCATCATCTTATCACGTGACGTGAAGGGGGGACGAACTAGCGAGTGGAGCGGTCATAAATACGGTATTCAGTCGAGAGCCTTCGTCGTGAATAGTGGTCCTAAATTTAACGTGGTGTTGCTGCTAAATATTCTTGTTATAATAATTTTAGTTTATATTACAGTGAAGTACAAGTTTAATAAAGCAAGTGGAAAATTAACATTGTGGTTTAACTTCTGGCAACTAATCTAATATACATGATTACTACAAATTACAAAATGGCTCTGTTAAAAAACCCAAAGAAGCAGAGGTTTGCAACCTGCATTGAAACGTTTAGGTATAATGCGATGATACAGTTGGCGAAATTATGACGTTTTGATTTTACTGGATGGATGCATCTTGCTTGAAAATCTTAAAATCTTGATATTCTCTTCGTTTTGCACATTTATTATATATTACCTCATTTTAAATTGTCTTTCGTTAAGTTGTTGTTGTTTTATTTTGTTTATAATTAGAAAATTAGTAATGCGGATGCGGGCCCTAGTGACTCAAGCTATTCAACAGAACCTGCGGTGAAGTCGTGGTCCAAATCTTAATAAAACGCTGTTGCTGAATGAAAGAAAATCTTCGCACATTAGACTAAATTATTGTTCTTCATATTTATAAATATATGAAAGAAACTGGGCTAAATGGTTCAGAATTAAAGAAAAGTGAAAGTTTACAAAAAACAGCATAAGTCACAGGTACATTACCAAATAATTAAATTACCTCAATATGTATTACGTCTGTGTCGTTATGTATTTCAGTCTACATCACAAAAAAATGGATTTTGTCAGTTAGACAATGTCATTGATAATATGGTGGAGTAATTTGCGATTAATAGGCCATCCTCATCTGGTAAAGAGTGATTAATTTAAAATTAATCTACATATAAGTTTTGCTTGTCCTTGATAAGATAAGATAAGATAAGATAAGAGTAGTTTATGTTGGTAATAATAATGAAAAAATAATATTTTTATTATGTTGTATAATTTGATCCAATTCCGATTTGTAGAAAGTTACACAAATAGATAATAGTAAACAAATAACTAACATTCCACTCCAGAATATCTGTTAATACATAATATAGATAATATCAAATATGTTTATCATATTCATCATTATACATGACATGAAAAGGTTTCGAAACCCTGCTTCTTTCATCTTCTTTTTTTTAATGTTATATGGAATGAAGTATAAAAAGAGTGATTACTGATGATTATCAGATAATAAGCTAGATGATCTAGATGATAAATCAGACCGTTTTAGGTTCAATTGCAACAATCTTGCTCATTTAATTTAACTAAAACAAGATTCATTCCCCAAAATAATATCAAATTAGCATTGACGTTTTAACATTTTTCTATGGGTAAAATCTAGTTTTGGTTGAATCTAGATTAGAAAATGAAAAGGAGAAAGGAATACCTCTCTTACTTGAACTCTAACTTTTCCCCCATTTTATAATTTTTTCCCCTATTTTATTTTTTAAGGTTTTTAGTTTTAGGTTCGTTGTTATAGTATTTTTTTTTGTTTTAAGCTAGTATTATATAGTAGTATATTTGTTAATTATATTATTGTTAAGTTATGATATGCAATACCAGTAAATTTTATATACCCAATTCAATTAGTCGAAGAGGTCCATGGTGCAATGGTCAGCATGTTCAATTCACCAAATAATGTGACTTGATCATGAAGTTGTCAGTTTCATCATCCGACTTGTATCTCATTGAAATAGAACCCAGGAATTATTTTTAATTTCAGGATTCAGTCTCGCGCGTGCATCGGTTCCGTACGGAACCAACAGGAAGAGAAGAGAGAAGCAACAGGAGCTATATTCTATATACTTTTTACTTGAAGATTAAAGGAAACCGATAAGAATCATCCTGTTATCTTCAAGAGAGAAGCAACAGGAGCTATATTCTATATACTTTTCTTCAGTTTATTATTTTAGGATAGGTAAATTGAGTTTCCTTATTTTTTTAAACTATTTACTTAGTACAAATATTTTAGTTATATTTTATAATCTTCTAATTTACCCCCAAAAGTAACTCCCATATTCAGAATTAATTTATTTACTTTATTTGTCCGTGTTTGGGTCACAGACATACATTAATGTACCACATTTCCACTTGATCGGTACAGTAGATACCGAACAAATCGACTGTAACAGACAGACAACCAAGCGATCCCGTTTTTGCCGATTCAAGTACGGAGCCCTAAAAGGAAATACAAAATTAAATGAAACTATTCAAAACACATGGCTCTAAGCTTTCTTCCTTTAAGCTCGCCTTGCCTTTTCAATCTATATGTTACCGGCCAAACCCGATTTCAGGACAAACTAGTTTTGCCTAGGCTAAACTAGTTCTTCCTATACGCGGTAGGATTAATTAGTATAGCCTAGTCTAAACTAATTTGTCCTAAGCCCGATAGGATAAACCAGTTTAGCCTAGGCCAAACTGGCCAAAGATCCTGATATAAATACGTACACTCTAGGATAAACTAGTACGGCCTAGTCTATACAAATTTAGCAGAGTCGAAAGTAATTGAACAAATATGTCAGAACTTGTACAGGTTGCGTCATGTAAAAAGAACGCTGGAAGAAAGTGGAGGGAGTGTGTATGCGCATAGATGCAGCTGCAACAAAAACTGTTTCATAAACAGTTGCCAATGATGGCACTGATACTCTGCAATTCAAGAAGGCAAGAAGACAATGATACTCTGCAATTCTAAGTGGCACCAAAGCACACCATGTAAAAATAAATAACAATTTTAATAATTGAGATATTATTATTGCTTCTATTAAAAAAACACATATTATTTGTTATAGTATAATTGCTTTTATTACTAATTATCCAAAACTTTTAACGATGAATCATTATCGTTTTAATAAAAAATATTATTTTTCCAATTACGGAGTATTTTATTCAGTTTATCTATTTATTTTGACTTTCTAGATATACTATAATGATTAGACTAGGCCATACTAGTTTATCCTAGAGTATGCGTATTTATATCAGGATCAACGACTTTGGCCTAGGCTAAACTGGTTTATCCTATCGGGCTTAGGACAAATTAGTTTGGACTAGGCTATACTAGTTCATCCTATCGCGTATAGGAAGACCTAGTTTAGCCTAGGCAAAACTAGTTTGTCCTGAAATCGGGTTTGGCCGGTAACATATACATGAATCGCCTGATCGGTGAGCGTAGCAGATAGGTTGCTATATTGATGGAGTTTGCTTGAACAATATAAACTATGCAGAGGATATGGTGCTGCTGAGCCCATCGCTTGGTGGTCTAAGAAGATTTGAAGATATCTGGCTGTGAGTCCTATGCGGTGGCTCATGGGATCAAGTAGGAGTAGGTCAAACTGACCAGATTCAGAACAGGACACGGGCGGACACAAATGGGGACTTAAAGACACATCAGAATTTTAAGGGGGTAGTTTTGGAAAGTCCTATCTTAGCGCACGTCTACATTCTAGTAGCGATATGTTTGCTAAATTTAAGCGCAATCCGTTCAGTGGTTTGGACTGTGCATTGATGGATCACTCAGTCAGTAACGGTTGCCTTTTATATAAACAGAAGACAACATAAAAGATGGTAATTAAATACCTATGTAAAGAAACTAATTGATTATTCTAAGCATTGTCGTATAGGCACCGGATAGTTAATGCTCATCCAATTTAATGCCTATTTAAGAGGAAATCGTCGTCTCACATCTACATCAGAAAATACATCATGCGAAATTCCTAAGTTTTAGCTTCATTGTATTTATAAGGCTTAATGTTCTGCAGGCCATCAGTCCGTGCTTGAAATCAGCGCAGGATGGAGCCGATCACACTTTTAATTACTCTATTTGTTAGTTGTGCAGTAAATGTGAGTAAATTATTTCGTTACTTGTTGATTAGGATATAAGAAACATCTGACAATATAATTATTATTATCATCTAATAAGCCGCACTAGTTCCGCATGATGGGTTAAAATCTGTCCTCTCTATGAAGCTCAGTCGCACAGGGACAGTAATACGATAATGATACATTATTTAAAAATAAAACCGGAAAAGTGCGAGTTGTTCTCACCAACCGAGGGTTCTGTACAAAGTAGGTACGCTACATAAACATCAGTATATTTTTGAAGCGTAAATTTAGAAGTTTGAGTTCTTCATAGCTTTAAGGTGCCATAGACTTGAATATATGGTTTAAATTTCAACACGATATCTCCACGCCTTCCCGATATACAGGGTCTTAGCAGACCGACAGATAAACGTCTGTAACCTTTTTTAACGTTAATTTAAAAGTGTGATTTGTTTACGGCTTCGAGGGCCCGTAGACCTGAGCATACGGTTTTAATTTTCAAATCGAAATCTTCACGCGTTTCCGAGATAAAAGGACTTGATTTACGGACAGATGGTCAGACAGACAACAAAGTGATCCTATAAGGGTTCTGTTTTTCCTTTTGAGGCACGGAACCGTAAAAAGACACGGTCAGTATACGACAGGCCTAATCAACGCCGGTGGAATCGTCAGTGATGGTAAAAGCTAATTTTTAAGTTTGAGAACAGGCAATAAACTTTATAAAATTATATAGATGAATTCCGCAACAAAAGTCATAACATACCTTCCCTTTCGATAGAATAGGGAGATTGGAACTTGACCCACCACACGGGCCCAGTTGTCCCAGGGGCATTGGTGAGTACTAACGACTGCCTTCTTTTTGGTAACCCATTCGTGACCGACCATTGCGATAGTCGCTTAACTTCACGATCGCAGTACGAACCAGCTAACCACCTGAGCCATCGAGCTCCTTCATATTGGTATATAATACGTTATAAAAACATTAAAAAGAAATGTATCACAAGTTAAGAAGGCTTTACAACTTGAAAAGTAATGTAAGAAACGTATATTTGGAAAAACAAAAATACTCAAATTCTCTGTGTTGATTTGGCCTTTTTCTTGTTGGTAAATTATCATCATTATCTTCATTTAAATTATTTTCGCAGTATTTTACGCTCACAACAGTCTGATTATATTTCTACGCCGTATTCATTTGAGTCATTATCTCTGAGAAATGAAATTAAGTATCTAAATCAACGTAACAAACCGTGGCATAATCGCACTGTATTAGAAATACCAAAACTTAACAACAACAACCAAACTCGGAAAAAACGTCCACAATAATAAAATCGATAAGATATACCTTTAACAAGAATAAATCAATAGATAACATAGATGAAGTAATCCCTATTATATATTTGTAGGGAGGTAAGGCAAAGTGGAGAGAGGAGTGGTTAAGGATTGCTGATAGGGTCTCCAGATGGTCTGTTTGTCCCGAAATTTTATGTGATATCCCAACTCCCGAAAAATAACGAATTCTCCAGACAAACGAACATGAAGATCCATTTTTCGTTTACTCTGTGCCGCAATAATATTTGAAAGTAGTACACGAGATTGGGGCTTGTGTACTGTCCGCGTCTAGCTTAAGTAGGACGTCTGGCGCAGGGTGTAGTTCTCCCGACAACAATCCCAATATCCCGACATATCAACGTGCTAGTGGCTCGAGAAATTTAATTTTGACTATTACCGGCCATTGCGAGATCCACGATCGCAGACTGAATGCGCTCTGACCATCACCATACATCAATTTTATCAGTTGCAGTATATTGCGAGTTTCTTTTGTTCTCGCCTAGTAGGGGAGCAAAATCTACCTATATTCTTTCTTACTGATAACAAGATTATTGCCTAACTCTAATGTACATTTTTTTAATGCGGTTTTTTGTTTTAAAATTTTGTGAAAAAATTACCACACAATTGCTTTTTTTACACTTTTACTCATTTTCACCACTTACTAATAACACACAGTCATAATTTGGTTATTTATGTAACAACTCACACAAACATATTTCTACGTAATTTCAAAGAGAACCTACAGCGGGTTAACTTGTCACAACTTGAATTTCTCACTCGGCTCGGTATAAACCACTCGAGTGGTACGAGTCAACTTGAGTCACTACCTTTGTTGCGTCCTGTATATAAAAAAAAGGCAATTGCATACTGCGAGTGATGCACCCAGGTGACTGCATATCTCCTAACTTGTCACTCAACATGGTATCTATAGTTACTTATCTACTATCTATCTGACTAGCAATTGATTATTATTAAATCAATAGTCTTCAACCTTGATAACATAATCTACGATTATCTAATGATTTGTCGGGGATGACTCGTCAACCCCATTGATAAATGGATCCCATTCTTTTCGGTCAGTCGTGTGTGACGCTTCACGCAAATCGGCGTTAATTTTGGCCGATTTTTTATTTTCTGTGAGAAACCATCGCTAAATAAAGAATAACGGCAGAGGTGAGCTATTACTATGGATTGTAAATTTTTATTTGACTATGATAACACTTGCGGTTTGACCAAACTAACTCAAAAGTATCGATCCGGCTTTGTATTTCGTCTATCAAATGCAATTTATGAATAAAAATGCTTTCAATTCTGCAAAGTGCAATTTATAAATAGAATAATGACAGATAATCAGACGAGCTACCTGCATGACATATATTGCTAAATTGAACCTCCTAGTTAAATAGTTTGATCACAAAGAAAATTATTCCTGTTGGAACTTGTTGGACCAACTAGTTAGACCTAAAAGTTTGACCACCAGGAAGAACTGAATTTTATTTGAATTTGAAAACACTTGCGTGCTGCCTGCACTTTCATTTATTTGTTTATTAACGACCCGACCGCAATTTGGCTTACAAGTACATAATTATTTATAAAAAAATATTTATTTACTCTTTATTGTTTTTCAACAACTAGCGACTTAATGCTACACGATATTTCTTACCTGTCAATCATCGGGCTATGCAGATATATTACGCGGTAAAGTAAATAAAAGTTAAGAAAAAGCCAAATAAAAAGTAATAAAAAAATCTGACATTGATAGAACTATATGTTACCTAATATAATAATTATAATATAATAGATGTATACACAAAGTTGTATATACATATAGATATAAAATAATAATATATATAAAATTCTTGCAAGTTGAGATTTCAGTATCAGAATATCATCCCCATCTCATAATTTTCTGGTGGTTTCAGGTGAACTTCCAAAAAAGCAAAAATTAAAATCAATTCTTAATTCTTACAACATTACATTATTTTACAATTGTGTTTGAATGTCTATCACTCACATGCTAAAATAATATGATTTCGTTCAACGTCAATAAAAATAAAGTAATAATCTGTTAATTCGAGACGGTGTCATAGTTTAACTATAAATAAATATTCTAATTGTTAAATTTTAAGTGGTTTTGTTTTTATAAAGTCGGTTTTTAGTTTTGTTTAAAAGAGTTTCTATTTTTCACTTTTTATAATTCAGAATAGTTATTTTAGTATATTTTTTACGGTTTTTAGTTTTAGGTTCATTGTTCCTGTATATATTATTATTGTAAATATCATACAATAAAAATCATATTCCTTATTCAGAACAATAACAGCTAAGTTTAGGCATTGCATACTCGTAGAACCACAAAACCTATTTGTGGTAGTGCTGTTAGTTATCAAGGAGTACCATTCCGTATAGCCAAAAGCACTTATCAGATCTTCACCAAATTTGAATGAGACCATCTCGAAAGAAACTAATGGAAATCAAAAATATATTTCTTGCTTTTTTGTGGGTAGATTCGTAATTTATAAATAAGTTACAATGGCCTCATTTATTTCGCGTTTTTTAATACTTTCATACATAGTAGTATGACTATCATTGATAAAGTGTTTTATACTCGTACAATGACCTTATTTAAACCGCTAATCATCCTTTACAAAACATTGCTATTCCCAATATTCAGGACGTTAATTGTTGAGTAGTTCTGTTATTTCATTTTCATCGAGGAACCGATGAACTTCAAGTATTGCGACAGACACAAATTGCTTAACAAGCTCAGCATCATTATCATCTGCCCATTAATATCCCAACCGCTGGGACACAGGCCTTCCCTATGGATGAAATAGGGAGACTGGGCAGTGTCACCCATTACGTGGGACCAGTGTGGATTGGTGGGTGCTGAAAACCGCAGATGTAGCCGGGACCAATAGCTTAAAGTGCCTTCCGAAGCACGGAGGAGCTCGAGATAATAAGTTTTTGGTCACCCATCCAAGGACCAACCATTGTGAAAGATTGTGGTCAAAAACTTAACTTTTAACAGACCGAAAGCGCTAACCACCGCGCCATCGAGCTCCTTCTCCTTAACAGCCTAAGCAATGATATTGCATCTCGGGACCCAAACAATGCTTGATTAGTTCGGGGATGGCCATCTGTTTGATGTCTTCAACATCAGTTCCACTTCACCCGATGGCGCTTTTCGCGAGTAAAAAGATAATTTTCTGTAAAAACTATCTTAATTACTACAGGTGTGAATATTTTTTTTTATAAGTTCCCTGTATTTTTTGAAGTTCTTCTGATCTAACTTGGTGGATACCTTACCACTTTGGGAGCATTACCTTTCAAATGCAAAATATAAACAATCGGTTCAGAATTCACGAAAATCTCAACGAAATTAATTAAAAAAAATAAGTATCCATTTTGATTTGATTTAATGGGACCACAAGAAACAGTTCTTCCTCGTGGTCCTAATAATGGTACAAAATCCTGGGACCACGATAAAACAGGGGTTCACGACGATTGAAAAACCTCATTTTTATCGAAGTCGGATTAAAAGGCCGAATTTCGGCCGATAGATCACTACTAGTGTAAGCTATATTAAAGAAAATTCGTTTTGCATTTAGAGAAATAATTTTGACTTATTTGTGTTTTCATAACTATTTCAGATGGCATCTGGTACAACTGCACCGACCTTTGAACTCAACGATGGAAACCAAATACCTGTGATAGCATTGGGGACTAATAAAATAGTAAGGGGATTTTTTTCTACATTCATACATACATAATTCTGTTTGTTTCAGACAATCTAGTGCTTAGCCCACACCTGCATGTTGAAGCTTCGGGTGGCTTTGGTAATAAAATAACTAAAATTAGCGTTCAAACTTTGAATTAAGTACTCTCCTCCAGCTGCACATACAAATTTTTTGTTTGCCATAACCTCTCTTAGTGAGTCAAATTATCGCCAGTCAAGCTATCGTCTAGCATCTATAGACATGTAGCCCACTTACTCATTAATGACAGAACTAATTCAAATCTCAAACGCTTATTTTCCAAATTAAAAAATAGTCCCCAAATTAACTGAAACTTTGAATTAAAATAGCTGATAATATTGGAACTTTATCTAATAACCTATTTTGGTTGAATTTCATAAGCAAGATAATTTATCTTTATAATTTCTTGGAGATATTGTTGTGACCCTTAATTTTTATGGGCGAGTACATTTAAGTGTGTGTGTTCCCTTATAATGGTATTTACAGTCTTTGGGGTTCGGATGTTAGACCCCAAAATAACCACTCTTTTTAATAAATAGCGAGGTAACTAAAAATGACGGGATGTGGAGAGATGAATATGTTATGTGTTTAGATTTATAACATCTAGCAGGTAAATGCTTAAAATAAAAATATAATATACTAAAAAAAACAGGAAGGGGAAGAAATGCGTCTGAATGTAAACGATGCAGTGGAGGTGGGATTCAGACATATTGATACCGCATTCCTGTACAACAACGAGGAGGACATCGGCAAGGGAATCAATGACGTCATAGAGAAAGGACTGGTGAAGAGAGAGGACTTGTTCATTACTACTAAAGTAAGTAAACATATACATAATAATAAAAAGAGTGCAAAGTAAATTTATTAAATCTCTTAACTTTTACAACAATTTAACAGAACCATACAATGAAGCTTTGGTCAGTACCCCTAGCACGGACCAATATCGAATTCGAATAGTTTGCGAGTGCGAAATGTCATTGTTAAATATGAGCTGATTTTTAGTTCTCGTTACGTCCGTTTTAGCGCTGCTGTTCAAGTTTCCATACAAAATTTGACAATGACATTTCGGACTCGTAAACTATTTGAATTCGATAATGGTTCGTTCGCCTTACCTTTAGGTACAGATATAAACTGCTTAGTCTTTAAAATGTCTGACATTATCTTTCTTTTCAAACTCTTAAACAAGTTCGTCTCCCGGTGCGCTCCTCACAAAAATTGCAATTTTTTCCTTCGCCTTTACGCAAAAACTTGTCGTTTCGTGTCGTTCCAACAATGTTTATAACAAAGGGTTCTCTGATTAAGGTCTTTGTAAATGCTTAATTGGTCTAACAATTGAAAAATATATCGATAATTCCTCGTATCGTTAATTTTATCATAGTAAGTAAATGAAAACAGTAATGAGTTTTGTTTTAACTAACCTCTTATTTTATAGCTGTGGTACATGAAGAACGGTAGAGATGAGGTGCTGTCTGCGCTGAGGGAGGCTTTGGGCAGACTCGGGCTTGAATACGTAGACTTGTGCCTTATTCACATTGTTGGTTTTGGAAATGTAAGTGATTGAAATACATATTATTAGCAAAGTGTTGCCTTCAAGCGAGCAATACGCCGTCACAGAATCACTTAAGGAGACCGTGAGGGTAACTTTAACTACAAAAGAGTATAAACATCACGCGGCATTTATGTGACCCGGAAACGATCAAGTCGACTTGTCAAGTCTACATGATTGAAGCGAATATTGATAGTGTGGAAATATGTAGCGTCAAGTCAACGCGGCAACGTGGTAAACGATCAATGGTGTCAATTCTGGCATGGTTCTCTAAACCTAAATTTAACAATAGTGTATCCTTGTCACGCTCTGCACAGAATGAAAAGGAGAGACTGATGTCAAATTTAGTTTTAAGTTTAGAGAATCATGCCAGAATCGACACCAGTATTCGCTTCAATCATGTAGACTTGACAAGGCGACTTGATCGTCTCCGGGACGCATTACAGAGACTGCATGTTCTGTTAATTGATAATTAATGTTTTTCTTACCAAGTAAACTGGTTTATAATATTTGTTCTTGGAATATGATTGGCTGATTTTATAAAATTTCGATTGTGTTTATAATTAAATTACAATAGTAAATATCGTTCAAAAGCTCGCACCAGTACATTTGATGTTCGTCCCTTCAAAGCGACAGAAAGCCTAATTCTGACATAACTAACTCTTTTCCAACTATGAAATTACCAACAACATAGGTGTATAATAGACTGAAAATCCTTCGGTAAGGAATATCGGTACGTTGGGGTACCACTTGCAACAGCAAACGAACTACGTCGGCAGCAATTATTAAAACGGCATCATTACAATACGGCACTTGTAGACATGCATTGCATAAGTTTAAGAAATAACTTAAAAAAGTTGAACTCTTTAAAATTGAAGAAATCTTCCTCATCCTCACGGAGGAGTTGGTGAAAGAAACAAGTAGAAGTGGTGCTAAAACATGTCTTGTAAATCAATTTGCAAACTAATTAATTTTATGTTTAGGACAGAAAGAGGCATCTCGTAATGATGCATTTAATTTTGATTTACTTTTTCTCAGGAGGATGGTTCTCTCTCTGACGAAGATATCCAGGAAACATGGAAAGGGATGGAGGAAGCAAAAAATCAAGATCTGGCCAAGTCCATCGGAGTGTGGAACTTCGACACAGAACAAGTGAAGAGAGTCATAGAGAATGGCCAGATACCGCCTGCTGTTAACCAGATTGAGGTTTGTACTATCATCATCACTATCAGCCTATTAATGTCTCCATTGCTGGGGCACAGGCTTTCCCTATGAATAGGGAGATTGGACCATGACCCACCCCACGGGCCCAGTGCAGATTGGGCTAACGACTGCAGATGCAGCCAGGACCAACGCCTTCCAAAGCACGGGGGAGCTCGACATAGCAAAATTTTTGGTCACCCATCCAATGACCGACCACTGCGAAAGTTGCTTAAATTCAACCATCGCCGCCGAACGCTCTGACTGTACTCTCGAGCCCCTCAAGGTTAGGTTGTAGTACTATGATATCTCCTAATTAAGATTATTAAGTATACAGGCCAGAAAAGTGACGTCCAAAATTTTATTTTTTTAGGTGCCTTGTGTTGAGAGGTGGCTATCTGAATCACCCCTATATATGTTCTACAATTTTTCATAGCTTGCGAGTTACGATTTTTATAATGATTTTTTGCAAAATAATGACGGGATTTGTTTCTAAAATTTCAAAAAAAAGTTGAAGTTTTCTTCGATTTTTTTCTTAGGTAACACAAAATTAACGGGGTATAAAATCAGACTTATGCCTAAAAAATGTTTCGATTACTTTGAATATATCTTGAACATCATCATTTTTCATCCAGCATATAAACAATGACGTTGCGCTAGGTTTCGCAAGCTATACGTGGGACACTCAGAAAGTTTAGCGAACAAAAGTTTTTATGTATAAGATACCGGCCACTAGTAATTATTTTGAAAAATTCGATTCTTTAAAAGTAAAAATACCACTGTTCGATTTTTTAATTTTCCTTTGCATTTTTTCGAGAAAATATTAATTACATTAAAATTTTCTTGTCTCATTAAAAATGGATCTGCATCGAGAACTTTTTCGTGATATGGTATTTTACGATTTTAAATATGGCTTATAACCTGTTGAGTGATACGATCGATTTCGAACTGCTTTTATGGATGAAGGACCTTCAAAAGCAGTTCAGTTACCATAACACTAGCCTTACAGTGCTTACTTTGGGGCTAGGCTATTTTCTGTATGATTTAAAAAAATACAGTCTGATGTGTGAATGTGACTGACTTGATTAACAACATGATTCTCAGGTCCATCCAGCGCATACACGCGAAGCTTTGGTATCTGACATGGAGGAACTCGGTGTCAGAGTAATAGCCTACAGTCCGTTAGGATTCCTCGTGGACAGGGGTCAGGAAGACGCCCCAGCTCCACACATTGACGACCCTGAACTGACAGAAATAGCAGAGAAGTACGGCAAGACCACAACCCAAGTCGTGCTGCGGTATTTGGTAAGTGTTTCTTTATGATAAATTGGTGGCGAAGAAGCATATGGCCTAACGTAAGTGGCCACCATAGCCTATAGATGCTTCTTATCAGATCGCGTATATTGAATTTGCTTTAATTTAATTGTTCTTCCCTCTTGTCATCCTTAAAAGGAATAAAAAAATTAGAATAATAAATAGCTATTCTAAATGTATAAATCCTTCGTGCTTCGTAAGGCACGTTAAGCTGTTGGTCCCGGCTGCAGTCGTTAGCACCCGCCAATCCGCACTGGGCCCGCGTCATGGCCCAATCTCCCTATTCCATCCATAGGGAAGGCCTGTGCCCCAGCAGTGGGGACATTAACAGGCTGATGATGATGATGATGATGATGATGATGATGATGATGATGATGATGATGAAATGTAAAAATCTAATAATAAAATTAATAGTTCAGTATTAGCAAGACAAACACAGATAAGACTTAGTTTGTCTGCGAGAGTGAAATGTATTAAGGTGAATATGTATTTGAGCATTTACTTGTAACAGAACAACGAGCCACTTTAAGATATGTTCTAGTGTAACACACTTTTACGAACCAAATTGCTTTGGAAACTGAGCTATTACCTGTATTTTACCATTCGTAAGAACTTTACATTGCAACAAGTTTTCACAGTAAGAAAAACAAATGAAAATCACACATTGTTCTAATTTGAATTTTGAAGTATCTTTTTTAAAAAAATAACTTTTTGATACCAAAACCAGCCAGATACAAATGCTCAGCCAAAGAGATTTTATTACAAGTTTATACATACTATGATGCGAAAGTACTTTTTCCCCAACCTGTTATCTTTTTAAGTTTGTCATTGAAACTTTAAGCTGCTCTGACTTCCTTTCTATATGAAAAAAATATATATAACTGTATGTCCAATATAGTAGGTAATATAATTTTCATCCCACCACCTCGGAAAGTGTAATTTTGCGCTTCGAAATCTGGCTGGAAAATTCTATTTTATTCGCTTGAGCGGCAAAGTAGATTTGAATTTAGAACATCACATATAATGAGTACTCAATATAATTGTAAATTCAAAACGTCATTAAACCTATTTAATGTAACCTCTATGGTGCCAAATTTATGATTAGAACTTTTTAAATTGTGAAAAAATTTAAATTTGGAACCTTCTTGGTTTCTTTGTTTTATTTGCGTGCTTCGCGCCATTCTAGTTTTTCACGTTTTATTGCTTAAATATTTTGTCATTATAAATTGTTTTCTTTTTCATTTTGTCATTTCCTCGCTGAGGTGGGATGAAAAGTTACGTATTGCACTCGAGTGGAAAGATTTTTCACCTTGTGCTCGTTTGTTTCCCTCGCTGACGCTCAGGATTCTAATTTAGAATCACTCGCTGCGCTCGTGATTCAACTTTAGAATCCTTCGCTTGCTCGGTCATCCAAATCGAGCACGCGGTTAAAAAGGAACTTTCCACTCTTGTATAATAAATAACTATTTATTGCAGATCGACAGAGGAACGATTCCCTGCACCAAATCCAGTCAGAAAGAGCATCTGGAGAAGAACATTGATATTTTCGACTTCTCTCTCACACCTGAAGAAGTTGCCATTGTCAACAAGTTTAACGTAGACAAAACAGTATTTAATCCGGAAGATGATTGATGAATAATGAGTATGTAATAAAATATTTTTAAAATTACTGTAACTTGTTATTAATTCAATTCCATCCTTCTCTGCATAATATCCAAAAGCTGTTACGCTTTAAAAATATACGCCATCAGTATTATTTTAAGTAGAGGTGTCAGTTTCAGAAATAAATCGGTATTAATTTTTGAGAAAGGCTAATCTATGAAAATTTCGTTTTATTTGCCTGTATTTTAGAAGGATTTGGGGTTGTCAGCAACCTTTAAACATTTTATTGACGACCTCGATGGCCGAGTGGTTTGTACGCCGGGTTTCATGGTGTCGCCGACTCGAGAGGTCCCGGGTTCGAATCCCGGTGGGAGCAGATGTTTGTGTGAAGAATACGAGCATTTGTACTTCAGTCATGGATGTTTAATATGTCTTTATATATAAATATATATGTACAGTATATGTATTCTATCCGTTACCCTAGCATCCCATAACACAAGCCTTACAGTGATTACTTTGGGGCTAGGCTAATTGGTGTGAGTGTTGGAAATATTTATTATTTATTTATTTAAATGAAACATTTAAGTATTACATCGCCACAATTTTTTTTAAGTTCATCTTTAGCAGTCATTACAATTGTTTAACTGTATAAAAAAACATACCTTATGAACAAGCATCGCTGGATGTAAAACAGTTTAAAAGTTTCACTTGTATCGTGTTTTTTTTAAATCACACAATTTTTTATTTAAAGCTACCTATTTATGCTACCTACCAGGAAGGAAATATTGTAAATTAGATAAATTATTGAAGCATAAACATTAGATTTCTGAGAACATTATAATTATTATCAGTTGTGCATACAGCAACTTCCTTACCGTGCTAAAGGTTTTATAAAAAGATTTCAGCATAACATACTTATAGGCTTAAATAATAAAAAACACCGGACAAGTGCGAACCGGTCTCATTCATCGAGGGTTCCATACTAATTTGTAGGTACGCTACATACGAGTATGATTAAGTCTACATTCCTTTGAAGCTGTACAAAATCACACAAATGAGTTAACGTAAGAAAAGATAAGGCCGTTTATGTTGTGTTGGTAGCTACAAATTCGTACGGAACATAGGTAAGACGACTGAGTTAGGGATCTCCCGCGTGCGCCTACCTAGTAGCGTGTAGTACGGTATAAATAAATAAAAAAATAATATTTCCAACAGTCACACCAATTAGCCTAGCCCCAAAGTAAGCACTGTAGGCTTGTTTTATGGGATACAAGGGAAACGGATAGAATACATATACAGTACATATATAAGTATATTTATATAGAAATACATATTAAACATCAATGACTGGAGTACAAAAGCTCGTATTCATCACACAAACATCTGCTCCCACCGTGATTCGAACCCGGGACCTCTCGAGTCGGCGCCACCATGAAACCCAGCGTACAAACCACTCGACCACGGAGGTCGTCAAGTATTGGGAGGTTGTCTCCATTTTGTAGTATATCAATATTATATTTATTACGATAAGCGAATTCTTCGTGCGAGCCTGCCAACCTCCTTTCCTCTCGAAGCCTACCAAATGTCGTACCAATGTTGGTTTCCCGATCGTCATACTGGTGTAATAGAGTTCCCATCCGTAAGACTAGTGTTATCCTATTGCTAAGGTCGGGATTGAAATTTTCCCCACCACAACACTGGAGCTCTACTCTCTTTCTCCGAAACGAAATTTCGGTAACGAACGAATTTTAAACGAAATTTCGCCAATGACTCTACTATATTTCATTTTCGAACACGCACATAAAGTTCGGAATCACAGACAATTTTCGTGAACGAATGGAATGAGTCATGTTTGTGAGTTCTTTTATCTCCCCTTTTTAGATTACCTGTTTTACTTGAAAACAATAGTACTTTACTACAAAATTTTTGATGACATTAAAAGAACCGTGTTAGACTTATTGTTGTTGACTTGTTGTAAAGTTGTTGCACTTCATTGTATGCCAACCTAAATTTGTCGTTTAATACTTTGAAGTATTGGAAATATAATAATTAAAATTTGGTGTATTTGTTAATTTGACATGCTAAAAAATGTTCCTCACGCTAAGCAGCCTTGATTAAAAATACTCTATCAGTCATTTTAGCCTTAATTTAAACAAAAGTCCCAAAACGAAAATGAAAAGGTAACACTTTTCATTTCTTTAATTTGAGGTTAAAATTTCGAACAATTTATTTGTCAAATTCAACTTTTCGTTTGAAAGTTTTGTGAATTAGAGTAGGCTTGGAGAATTTAATTGTCAAACTATTTTCGGACGAACGAATTTTCGAAATGAAAAGGAAATAGAGTAGGAAACTTTCGATCGAAATTTAGTTTTTCGTTGTAATAGAGTACGCCTCCTGGTGTTAGTGTTACAAACGCAAGTAAATATCTGTGATGTTCTCTTGTTGTTGACTCAGTGAGAGTTGCTGAGTTATTCACTTCTCCTAATACAAAAATAAATGGTGAAAAAGGAATACTAGCCGGTGTCAAGTCCCAAACCTAGTACTTGAAGAAAACTTGATGTTACGCAAACCATACATCATGTATTATAATGGTGCGGTAATGACGTATTCGACGTATATTCGCTTTAGTTGTTACAAATTGCAAGATCTCACAAACCAGTCACGCAAGCCAATTTACGCGTCACGACATTGAATCACAATTATTGTGCATAGCAAAGTAGTAGGCATTTGTTAACATCAGATACATTTTATATGACTATTTCAACACAATAAGAAGGATTATTATTTTTGCAGTTTATGTTTATATCTTCCATAGTTAAACTATTGAACCGTACCCCTAGCACGAACCTATATCGAATTCGTATCGTTTGCGAGTCCGAATTGTCATTGTCAAATGTATATTGATTTTTAGTTCACGTTACGTACTTTGGGCCTCTGCTGTTCATGTTTCCATACAAAATTTAACATTGACATTTCGGTTTGCAAACTATTCGAATTCGATAATGGTTCGTGCTAGGGGTACATAAAGAAATGTAGAGTTGCGTATTACGAGCTGGGTGACAAAAGTCAAAATCTATATGGTTGGTATTTGATCCAAAAAAGGGCGAATCACTTAGATTCATGTGACACTGAGAAAAGCACAATATTTATTTTCGGAACCAAAACATATAACAACAGTTTATTCAATTAAGTTCCTACTAATCCCACAATATTAAAAATGTGAAAGTTTATGGTTTTATGTGTTTGTTACTCAATTACGCAAAAACTACTGAACGGATTTGGATGAACTTTGGTACGCATATGCTAGTTATAACTTCGACAACGCCATCTAGTCACTTTAAGTAAATGTAGATGGCTTGCAAACAAATAAGACAGTTTTCATGTATTAGAAACTCGATGGCTTTGCCGAAGAATATACCATGTTTATATTGAGAAAAAACGGTTTTCAAGAAGACTTTTTATTGGCTTCCGAGCAGTAAACATCTCAGATAATTAAACTATAATTCTTTCATTTGGGCACCCATTTTACACCTGGTTTGGACATAATAAACTTTTTATAGTAGAGAAATGTTAGGTTCCTGTGGAATTCTCAAACACAGTTAACGCGAACGAAATCGCGGGCGGCCTCTAGTATAATGTTATAATTATGAATACAACTATAGGTATATAAAAGCAATTAGCGCCTTTTGTATTGGAGTATTATTACTTTCTACTTGTTTTTCCAGTTTAGGTTGTCAGACCCGACTTCAAGATGCAAGTGCTTAATATATACGGTTCAAATAAGAGCACCAGTCAGAGAAAGTATCTACTTCTCACAGACGAAAGAAGTCAAATAATGTTGTCAATAGTTTTTAGTTGTTGTCTTGTCTAAGATTAGTGTTTTTTTTTTAATATTATAGAGGACATACGAGCTGTATTAAAAACGAAAAGTCGTAGAATATAGAATAGATGTTGGTTTGAACTTATAATCTTAACGAAGATATTTTATCTAGGTATCTGTATTGAGTTTTTATTATCTGTCCTGATTGTGACTGAGCGTAAATACGAAAAACATAAAACAGTTTACTTTGATAAAAATAAAAAAAAAATCTGATCAATTGGGTCTAAAGATACTTACAAGTGTACTGCGTCGTATCGTCATTGCTAAAGAGGATCACAAGAAGCTTTTAAGTTCATTGTATTGACGAGGATCGGTTGTGTAAAGGCCAGTTCGTGTCTGACCTCAGATCAAGATGGGGCTTCGCACTCTTTCCATAGTATTGTTCGCCGGTGTGTTGAACGTGAGTAAATAAAAAACCTTTTACATTTTCCATAAAAATTGTTATAAATAGATATCCCCTATTGTCATTCGGAGTAATTCTATCAAATAGTTCTTTAGTGTTTTTCAAACTCATGCATTATTCTAGGAAAATATTCCTTTTGCATATGCAAAATGATTAAAAGAATTGTACTTTAAATGGTATGAAAAATTTTCCTTCGCGTATTATTATAAAAAAAAACTCACACACTAAAAATACAACACACGTCTCCGAACTTAGACGTTTATTATTTTTTGCTAAAACAATGAGTGACAACGTCATATAAAAAAAAAAAAATTATTGAACTTGTCGCTACAATGAAGTAATTAATGCCTTTATCGACATATTCGAACCCTGGACCTTTAGAGTAGTCGCCAGGATCGTTACTGTTGCATTGACCATTCGACTCGTATATTTGCTATTGGCTGCTAAGAATATTTTCTCAAACATGCTTGGAAATTTGAACATTATTTTTACAAACTTCTTCGAGATAAATCGAAATTGCTGTGATGGCCAAATACATGCGAGCCTTTAAAAGTTGTTTGAAAATCTATAATAAATAACATTTTAAATTCATATTTGTAAGCTTATACATATATATTGTGTATTGATCGTTTAATTTAAAAATGGAACGCTCTTTTACTCCGGAACATGGCCACCAGCAACGTAACTTATTACAAAAATTTTACATTCAACAACTGTGTTTTCAAATAAAAAGTTTTGCCTAGGTACTATGTAGTTTTAATTTCAGCGCATTTTTGGGAAAAGTACAATACAAGCCTTTTCCACAACTAAGCATTGATGGACTACGAATGGATTTATACGTTCGTACATCAATACCTCTTCTGCTGGCCGCTGCAGTAATGTATTTATTCTATCTACTTCTACTCTATTACGATCTGCGTAGAATTTTTTATAGTTAGCGTTAAGTCACCACTGCGCTATTGGGCTCCTCTACACCAGTTTTCTTTAACTAGTGAAATTATTAACCTAAATGGTTCAACTGGGAATCGAATATGGAAACTTGGAAAGACAGTAGTAGTAACTACCATTCTCTACTAATTACGGAAGCTATCAACATCAATCGCATAGCCCAAGATATACCCATAAGAACTAATGTTGTGGAACAAGTTTAACGAGTCAGTCGTGTCTTCGCCTTAGTTAGCGTTTAGTTTTTCCTCAAGGAAGGCACACTTTATGTAGTTTGTTTTTGAATTTATAGCAGAGCATAGCTCCATGTCACGTCCGTTTCCCAAACCTGATTACAAAACCCCCAAAACAATTGAGTGTCGATTGCAAATCATTTTTTGACGCTACTACTTCGCATGGCTATTTGTATATTTTGCTATTTGTTGATTTGTTTTATAAAAACCATTAGAAATAAAAACCGAATTAAGAAAAACAAAATCATATCAAAAATTCAAGATAATTCTTATACTTTACTTAAGTCTAGCAGATTCAAAGTAAAGTTTGCAGTTGGTGGCAGACAAGCCAGTATGGCAATTCAGATCTAATATACTGTTTCTCAATAAAAAATAATGACGTGTTGCACCCCGGGATGTTGTGTTGTGCATTTTTGATATTTTGGAATGGTTAGGGAATAGTTTTGCACGAATTGCTTTAAGTATCAGTATAAAAGTACTATCTTTATGTGGAAGAATACAATATTTATTTATTGCGCTATCGTACACAAACATGAAAATTTATATTAAGTTAAAAAGTTTATCTCTCAGAAAAATCAACTTACATGGATCACATTTAAGCGCACCTAGGGACATCTATTGTAAAAAAATGCATTTTCTTCGCAATAAAGCTGCCACCTGGACGTCCTAGTCAGACTTATTATTATAATACGATAAAATAAAATATTACTATGTTTCATCTAATATATTGAAAGGCAACAACCTTTCCAATTTTATTGTTTTCGTGTTACGAATTTTCGATCAGGCCACGTGTCCTGACGCGAGTTTAACATTTTTTACCCATTACAAAAAAAAGTGTACAACGCCGCTAAGGAAGTTTTCACTTCAAAAATATTTATTGCTTTAATCTTAATCTCTCCCTTTTATTCTGCACTGGTCGTTGTAATTTATCTATGTTACAATAGCCTAAGGTAAACTACTAAAATCATCTTGCTTTATTCATTATGACAAACACAAATTGCATTTTTTTTGAGTGTTGATGATGATTGATTAATCGGAGGCGAATGAATTTCAAAGCAACCAAATTTAAGTTTTCGTATTTTCCTGTGAGTAATCGTCTAGTGTTTAAAAAAATATGTAAGTTCCAATAGATGTGCCTAAAGATATTGTAGAGTTCCTTAAAATCTCTAGGATACGATGATTCTGACTTGGCGAAAAGGGGATTATAAAGAGCACATAACTTTTATATAAAGAAACTAGCGGCCCGTCCCGGTTTCACACGGGTGTATTAAATACTATGTAAATATAATGAATCAGCATTTATATCTAGAATACAAAGAAAATTTAACAACAAATAAACAAAAGGAAACAGTGGAAGAGCTTTTCACTATATAACGAAAAAACAATTTTACAAAAGCTACACAAACATCTGAAGGACGTAAATTCAATGAAAAAAAAATCAGTTCCACACGCATCGCTTAGGGAACCTCGGTTTTCATTCTACGGTATTCAATTTTAGATTTTTTTAAATTTTCGAATACTGCTTACGTCACGTTTTATTGTGTCTTGCGCTTGTTCTTTTTTTTTAATATTGTATTGGTTCTGAAATGAGAAAGTCTGAAGCCACTTTTTTATAATTATTTATATAGGTATGGAGCATTACAATGTCTCCATCCGTATATTGAATATCTATAGAAATACCTACTATATAGCTGTCCCAGCGAACTTCGTACCGGAATAAAAAATAGGGGTTGGTGGTAGAGGGGTGAAAATTTAGGGTTGTATGTATTTTTGTATGATGATGGTCCAAAAAACATTTAGGGGGATGAAAAATAGATGTTGTCCGATTCTCAGACCTACTGAATATGCATATAAAATTTCACGAAAATCGGTCGAGCCGTTTCGGCTGATAGTTAAAACTGTCTTTATCAGTTATTAATAAAATGTGAAAAAATAATTATTGCACTGGAAATTAATAATAAATTCACAATGAGAGTAAAATTAACGTAATAGATGCACAGAAAAATTAAAATAATACGTGCTGCTACGATCGATACACAAATGAAACCAAAAAAAATGGCCGAAAACTGTATATTGAGGAAGACAGGAGACCGGCTTCCTTCTCATCCCTACTCCGTGATTTTTGCTAGATGAGAGGTGACCCAGGTAGACATCTAGCGGGGATAACTGATCGATTGATCGTTGATCGGTTATCGACCGGTGAAGGCGGAAGATCAAATTGAATTGAGAAAAAAAAAGAAATTATTAAAAATAAAAATCGCGGTGGTAAAATAGGGGTTGATTGTAAAGGGTTGAAAATTCAGGGTTATATGTATTTACTAATGCTGTATCATAAAAAAATTAAAAAATATATATATATCTAAAATTAAAAAGAAAAATTTTGGGGGGGTGGATTACCCTTAACATTTAGGGGGATGAAAAATAGATTACATCCGATTCTCAGACCTACTGAATATGCATATAAAATTTCACGAAAATCGGTCGAGCCGTTTCGGAGGAGTTTAACCACAAACACCGCGACACGAGAATTTTATATTTTAGATATTGGAGCTTGATGGCGCAAGTCGTTAGCGCGTTCGACTGCGATGACCGAACACTGCGAAAGTTGCTAACTTTCGCAGTGCACGGTCATTGGATGGGTGACCAAAAATTTGCTATTACAAATTAGCTCCTCCGTGCTCCGGAAGGCACTTTAAGCCATTCGTTCCGCCTGCATCTGCAGTCGTTAGCATCCACCAATCCGTACTGGGCCCGCGTGGTGGGTCATACCCAAAAACTCCCTATTGCATTCCTTAGGGAAGGCAAGTGCCCCAGCAGAGGGGACATTAAAAGGCTGATGATGATGATGAAAGAAATATTATGATATCAGTTCACCATTCAAGCATACACAAAAATACATACATGACGAATACAGAACCTGCTTTTCTGTTATAAGTCAATAAAAAATTAAGGACGTTGTTTTTCTATGTTGATATTTTTAGATTTATGAATGCCCTTGAAATAATAAGTGAATGAACTTTAAAGTTATTGATAACTAGTTTGTAAAGGCAAATACGTTATGCAAATATATTATCTGCTGAGTTCAAGTCAAGTCATAAAAAAGCTGTGAACGAGTCCTGTGTTTACTTACCAACTTCTTATTTCAAACAGAAAATTGTAAACAATACGATAGATCATTAAAATATTTCTTTCGAATTCCCTATCCAAAGTACCCTATCATGAAACCTTGTCCGTTGGTCTGTTTGTTAGTGGACTGTATCTAATATATATCCGATAATATATCTATCTCCACAAAATTACAACTCTCTAGTGCTAACAGTCTCCAAGCAAAATCGGGGACGGACAGACAGACAGACATGCAAAACTATAAGGGTTCGTTGTCAGGACTACGGAACCCTTAAAAAAGTAGTTACCAAAGTATTTGATTGTAGAAGCGTAGGCAAAATATCTGGCATTAAATTAATTTGACGTTTGTGAGTTCGGCTGCCAGTCTTTAATTATATTTTGACCATACCAAACCAAACCATAAAGCATGGCTTTGACTTATCACCCCCTGGCTACTCCAGACTCTAATTAAACAAACCGTTAATCTAAGATTGACATAGACAAATATGTATTTAAGTTAAATGATTGGGTTGCCATTATGAAAAATAAGACGGGCTACTAGTAGCTAGCTTGCTTTTTTTGGCTTTAGCCTTGACGAAATCAGAACCTTTCTTTTTACTCTGGCTTCTGTGATAATCACCACAGTGATTTAATGTACAAAATTCATTCATACTGTGAATATTAATATGGCAAGTACTCAGGTAGTTTTTAAAATAGGAATATTAAAATAATTTTATCAAATATTGTTTGACATAAGTTCCTAAGCAACTATTTTGGGTTGAGCGTATTAATTTACATGTAAAGTACTAAATATTCAATATCTACTAGTTGTTGCTTTGGCGAGCATAGGTACTTATGTGTTAGTAAATTCACAGAATCTAATCAAAAGTATTAAAACCTGTCGTTCCACTTTATTGTCTCGGAAAAAATAAGAAGTGATCTTCATTTGTTTAATTTAGGTATATAATTTATTATAGTTCTATTTTTTTGATACACATACAGGTATATCCACAGCTTCCAAGCTTATTTTTATCTCTTTTTGTTTATATTAATCATTATGTCAATACGCGAAGGATCTTTTAAGTTTATTTTGGAATGTGAGTGATTTTGTGGAATGGAGAAGGTTTTATAAGGAAAAGTACAGTTCGTTAAGGCTTAAAGTTTGAAAATAATAATAATTACAATAAACTTTACATATTTAATAATATAATATTTGATTACTAGATGCCGCCCGCGACTTCGACGTTAGATTCAAATCCATTCAGCCGTTTTTGCGTGATTGACGTAGTTATAAACATACCAACATTTGTAAACTTTCATAATTCACAATATTAGTAGGATTAATTTAATTATTTTTGTTTGCAGTTGGCGTCTGCGACCGTTGTACCCACGATCGCCTTAAACGATGGAAACAAAATTCCGATATTAGCACTCGGAACGTACAGTGGGGTAAGTAAACCTTTTAATTGAATGTCCGCCAATTCGTTTGTGTGTGCAATAAAAGATTTTAAAAATGTAAGTAATGCGATTAATGACGTTTATTGCTTTACTTACATAAACCAGGACTTGAAACCGGTTTTTCGAAACCGGTTTCAAGCCCTGGTTTAAATACCGGTAAATAATGGTTAATACCGGTATTTAGTAAAGGTTTCATTCGGAGCGCGTCCTAAATGAAAGTGGTACCTAAACCTTAATCCGGTTTATATAATAAACCGGTTTAATCCGGAGCGACACGTGCACGCGTCGGCATCGCTTAAAGTTTGTTTTGTTTGAACTAATCAAGTCACAACTTGTTAATACTCACAGATTGATGCATTTATTGACACGATTACTAGCGTCTAGTGACTCAAGTTATTCATTTATTATCGATGCCGTCAGAAAGAGCGAAATGAAACCCTTTATAAACCGATAAATTGATTCAAAATCTATTTGATTTCGCTCTTTAGGAAAACCGGTTATTTAAGGTTAAGGTAGAGCCAAACTTAAATAAAACGCTCCTGATGTACTTGACATGATTTAGGTTTGAAAATTAACCGGTAAGCAAGCCCTGACATAAACTAACTATGGTCGTAAAAAAATCTCTTCACAAAGGTACTTAATTCAAGTCCTTTAATCCGTCTGCCAGTTTCTCCGGGGCCCAATGTCCCTACTGCATCCATAGGGAAGGCCTGTGCCCCAGCCAGTGCCGTCTTTGACCTATTGGAGGCATATTAAGATAATGTGGTCCCTACGACCCCCGTTTGGTGATTTAACAGGAACTAGGGACTTTGTATTTGATCTGAGGGGGGCCCCTATCGATCGCGGGGCCCTGGGCACTTGCCCAAAGTGCCCACTGGGAAAGACGGCTCTGGCTCCAGCAGTGGCTACATTAATAGGCTGATGATGATGATGAATCCATCTGCCTGCGATGGTACGGATATTCAAGACCTAGTCGGTTTTTCGGATTACGCCCACAAAGTGTAGATACAAAGAACCTCACAAGCCAGTTAATCAGGATGCAAAAAATAATAATGCGTGTTATTTGTGGTCTCTGTAACAAAAAATAATAATCTTAAAAAAACCATACAAGACCACCAATACAATACAAGAAACCTGATTTGATCGGTCCAGTTGTTTTGCTAGATCTATAGATAGAATATTGTATTAATAATTATTATTGATACTACCTACTTATTGAAAATGTTTTATCCTCTTGTTTTAAATATTAACCTTCATTGATATTGAAAATATAAACATTTACACAAAGTCATGCTAAGTTTCATAGAGTTTGATGGACAGATTGTTATGCAAAAGGCACCCTGTAAGGCATTTTGCAGACGACGGGGCGGGGCGGGCATTTTGTCCGCGAAGCAATAAAAACCGCGTCTGCCCGTCGATGTCTGCGGCTGCCCGCGCCGCGTACACAAAGCACACGACGGGCAGAGGCGGTCAGTTCAGGACGTTCGTTCTAGTGAATTGTCCATCACTAAAAAGCGCATGGCGCGGACTGAGCTGACCGCCCCGCGCCGCCGTCTGCGTTACTGCATATAAACTGGTTTGTATGATCCACGGCGGGCACCTGCGGCGCGGTTTTGCCCTCTGTGTGCGTTTGTAATATAGGATTCACTTTGTGCTATCGTTCGCGGCGAAATTGACCGGCCCGCCCCGCCCCGTCGTCTGCAAAGCGCCTAATCATTCGTCAATTCAAATCACGTGTATGTCTATTTGTAGTCATACAAAAAGTTAAATATAGAATGTGTTACCCTAGTATCCCATAACGCAAGCCTTTCAGTGCTTACTTTGGGGCTAGGGGAATTGGTGTTAGTATTGGATTTTTTGAAAATATATTAAACTACTGAAAAATCTAAAAAGCAGATGCTTGAAAGTCAAAAGAACTTACCTGTTAGTGACGTTCGACTGATATTATACGATGTGATTCGCCAGAGCTTTATTATGTGCTGCCATCGATGTGTACGATGGCAGCACATAATGCGTGCTACTTACTACAAGTGAATTAAGTGTAATCTCGAAGGGCGAATCACAGAAGTATAATAATCTTTAGTAGTCTTTTGTCAAATTCATATTTGGAGTCGGTGCTATCTATGCATGTCTGATAGAACTGAGTTCCCATTTACTACTTGGGATAGCATTGCACCGACTCCAAATATAAATTTGGCTAAAGATAAAAAAAGTTCATAAGTTTTTGCTTTACAGTTATTTTGTTGGTAATTTTTTCTGTTAACAAGTGTTTATTATTAAAAAGTGTTAATTCATGCACTCACACTGAAGTACTTGAATGATAACCAAGTCTAGTGCCCGACTCAGCGTGTTATTTTACTGTGGTTTTCTATAAGGTGGAGGTTTTGGCTAAACTGTACTTCCAGGGCCCAAGTGGTGATACTTCACACTAGGTTAGGTTAGTGTTGTGACCATAACGCCAGAAAGAAATATTTTTTTAAAGAGACCTTTTCTACATAAAAAAAATTCAAGTATCACCTCTTCGGCCCTGGAAGTACAGTTTTACTGAGGTTTTAATGCCGAGTTGTAATTTTAGCTAGCTGATTGGTGTGAGAGTAGAATTGATGTGTGAGAGTGGTTACTTTCTCAGGCGGGCGCTCCAATGCGAAAAACCCGCTATGAACTTCGTACCGCCATAAAAATAGGTGCAGGTGGTAGAAGAGAAAATTTAGGGTTGTATGTATTTATTAATACCACATTATATAAAAACAAATATTGTCCAAAAAAATTTTAGGGGTGTGTAACGTAGTGTTTTATCAATTTTCTGGGATAACATTCCTCTTAACCCATATGACAACACTACGTTACAATACCCAATTTCTTATCTGACTTAAGCATATGACAAATAGATAGTTGGCGTTTCTCAGACCCACGGAATATGCATATAAAACTTTTTAAAAATACAGGCCGTTTCGGAGGAGTATGGTAACTAACATTGAGACGTGAATTTTATATAAAAGATATAACATTCTCTTGCGATACTAACGAGGTATTCAATAATTTACAGAAGGGTGACAAAATGCGTCAGACTGTGAACTGGGCTGTGGAAGCGGGTTACAGGCACATCGATACTGCGTCTCTGTACCAGAACGAGGCAGATATCGGCAAGGGGATTGCTGAGGTCATTAATAAGGGACTCGTGAAGAGGGAGGACCTGTTCATTACCACCAAGGTAAGTAAAATTCTACGAAGACATGAATTGCAATTGGAAATGTTGAGGCGCAGCTCAGGTGACACAGTGGGTAGAATTTCTATCAAAATAATATTTATTTCTGCTTTTGAAAATTTAACGTATGCAGGTTTGTGATTTTTCTTTTAATTGAAAATTATGAAACTCTATCACATTTCAAATGTTTCATACATTTTTAACAAAAAAAAACTGACTTCATTAAATCAAAACCACTAAAAATGCATAAATAATACATTTTTTACTCAAGTCTTATGTAACTTTAAAAATTTTGATTCTATGAAGCCGGTTTATATTTTTTGTAAAAAAAAATTAATAAGGGAGATGGTATTTTTTGATTTCCTCGTGAGGTAAAAATCTGCCTTTAAAAGAAATAATTTTCAACATTGTGAACCGAAGGTATAAAAAAATGGGGGATAAAAGTTGCTATTCCCACGAGCAAAAAGATCTAAAATATAAGTCGCGGCACGAAACTCTAGCGCCTACCGTTATTGCGCAGAAGTAAAAATGAAGATGTCTTGGGGGAAACGAGGTGCGCAAGGGGCGTGCGTTGTGCCGATTGGCTCTCCAGTCACACCCATGCGCAGCTATCCCCTCCGCGTTTTGTTCAGCGCTAGAGTTACGTGCTGCGACCAACGATATTAAAATACCCTAGACACCAACACGAACAAAATCGTACCCGAAACCTGTCCAAAAGGTATGTACCTTTTGGACAGGTTCAATGTTGAACGATCCACGGAGCACCGCCGTAAGATGATCGCGTAGTCAAAATCAATATAAGGCATTATTAAAATATTGAAAGTAACCTTTAATACATACTGAATAAGGTCTTAAATAAAACGCACGTCTGACAGATGGAAATGCAAGCTCGTAAAATTTTACGACTTATTGCTATATGCGGAAGAATTTAGACCTTAGTTCTTTGACTCTACGCGCAATTCTGAACGCGCTGTTAGCAATATAGCAGGCACGGACCGCGAGGAAAAGAGACAGCTATATGGCGACGTATAACCGACCATGCATTTGAATATCACAAATAGTTTATATTAAATCAGTTTATAGTAAGTATTAGATCAAAATTTACTTCAAATGCGTTAAATTAACAAACATTGTCTAGATACCTGTCGAAACAACGACACTTTTCGTACTCTAAGTATTATTTTCGCATATTTTCGCGGAGCTCTGTGGTATCTTGACTTTGTAACGGTCCGCGCGTGACTGTGAACCAAGAAATGCTTGAGTGGAGTTCAAGCACTTCTCGATTGGGATACATTTTGAGCGCTCATGGTGTATCTAGGATATTTAATATCGTTGGCCGTGACCTGTAATAATATTTATAATATTCACTGAATGAACTTTCTTTTCTTTAGCTGTGGAACGACAAACACAGACGCGATCAAGTAGTGCCAGCGCTGAAAGAATCTCTGAGCAGACTCGGTCTCCAATACGTGGACTTGTATCTGATCCACTCACCTGAATCTGAAAATGTAAGTAAATAATTATATACTTTAGTTTATGTTCTCGGACATCTATTAGACACCAATTTTGGCATCATAGCGAACTTCAGGGCTCACGCTGCGTTAACAGAGCAGACGTCGACTCCGTGATCTTTAAATGAGAAAATCTTCTTCTTTAGATGAAAATTGCAGGTTCTGTATTCGTAGTGCAGAATGACTTACAACTTAATATTATGCATTAAAATGCAACTGAAATTTCCTTAGATTTATAAATTAACTTCATCGTGTTGCCTTTTTTTTTGAGAATCCCGAAATAATAGGTTCTTCTTTATTACGTTTAATAATAATAATAAGTGCTATCCTATGATCAAAAACTATATGTGTATCAAAATTCATCAAATCAGCTCAGTCGTTGTTGCGTTATTGAGTAACAAAAGAAAAAACTTTCATATTTATAATATTAGTAGGATAAATCTAAAGATTTCACTAATATAATCCACCCAGTCCAGGGTGTTACGTTGGATGCGAACTGACACATGCATTTAGTGATTAATGTGAACTGCTTTTGTTCCAGGCTGACGGTACTCCTGCTAACATCGACTATCTGGACACGTGGAAAGGGATGGAGGAGGCGAAACAGCTGGGTCTGGCCAAATCCATTGGAGTGTCCAACTTCGATACGGAACAAGTGAAGAGGATCGTGAAGAACAGTCAGACACCGCCCGCTGTCAACCAGATTGAGGTATTGACTTCGTTGTACGAGTAAAATGAAGTTTTTTATTAACTTCTCCCATAATATATATTCTTTCATTTATATATCATAATATGCTGGTAGTTAGCGGTAGAATAAAAAAAAAGCAGTATAAAAAAGCACTTATTAAAAAAGCTTATTCCAAAGTGTCTGATTATATTTCAGACAAAAATGCTTGGGTTTGAACTCTTCCAATCATTCCAACAGGTTTTCTATATTAAATAAATCATAATTGTATTGACGTTGTGCCAACATGATGATTTGTAAATGTTGTTACATTAGACTTTTAATGTTATGGAGTTTTTTCCGCTCGTTTTTCTCCGCAGCTAAAAAATATGTCCATAACGAAAGGTAGGGAAAAAAAATTTTGGACGATTCAAAAGAGTTGTACTATACATACAATTTGAATAAAGATATATTGATTTCTGATTTGATACATTTGTATGGACATCTTAATAACCTTTTCCAGGTTCACGCTGCGAACACCCGCGAACAGCTAGTGTCGGATATGCAGAACCTCGGCATCGCAGTGATGGCGTACAGTCCTCTCGGGTTCCTGGTGAACAGGGGTCAGGCTTCAGTGCCTCCGCCGCAGCTCGACGACCCGACCCTGACCAAGATCGCCCAGAAATACGGCAAGAGTACAACACAAGTCGTGCTACGGTACTTGGTAAGTGACTGAGAAAATTCAAGTTTCTTTAGAAATCAGATAGTACAATTTTGGGAAGCTTGACTCCCTCTAGCCATTCTCTCATTGCTGATGATTACTTAACTGTGGTAGTCTTTATGATTTGCTTTCCTAAGTCTCTATCCGTCAAAAAACGCTTAAGTACTAAAATACACTTAAGTTCTGAACTTTAGCGTTTAAAGTTGTGATGTCTAGTGATTTCTAAACATCTTTGCTTCTATTTTTCCGCAGCGTGGGGAGTAATAAAGAATTACTCCCGAGCAATAATTAAAAAAATTGTTACGGGTATATGCATTTTAAATAGTATACTTTGTTTATGATTAACCCCTTATACGTAGTAACTTATTGAACAAATAAATATTAATAAACAGTTTGGGAAATTAAATAGTTAAGACATTTAATAAATAAAATAAAATAAATAAATATTTCCAACACTCACACCAATTAGCCTAGCCCCAAAGTAAGCACTATAAGGCTTGTGTTATGGGATGCTAGGGTAACGGATAGAATACATAAACTGTACATATATAAGTATATTTATACAGAAATAGATATTAAACATCCATGACTGGAGTACAAATGCTCGTATTCATCACACAAATATCTGCTCCCACCGGGATTTGAACCCAGGACCTCTCGAGTCGGCGACACCATGAAACCCGGCGTACAAACCACTCGGCCACGGAGGTCGTCAAATTTAATAATTATATGTATCGATATACTATTTTATATTGCTCTACGAAGATAAATACTGCTATAATCTGAAAATTTCCGACCCTTTTGCAGCAAAAATCCACCTTGAACTACAGTGAAATAACATTACTTCTGTCAATGAGTAAGGTGCCACAGCTCCACAGGGTATTCTTTATGTTAAAAGAGTGGCAAACAAGCGTAGCGCCCGCCTTATGGCAAGCGGCCACCATAGACTATAGACGCTTGCGATACTAACAATATTACTCACACTGTTGCCTCTCTTGACCCCATTGCCTACCCCGTAAAATCCAAAGGTAGTGTTATTTTACTGTGAGCTTCTGTAAGGTACAGGTTACTTCCCCAGAGGGGCGCTTCAATTCGAACAGCATATCCGCTATGCCATACCACTCTTATAGGCTCAGACATATTATATATATGTTTACATAGACAGAATGACATCTAAGTGTTGAACGTTTAAAAATTAAAAAAAAATAGTTTCGTCATCAGAAGAAAATGATAGATTTCACTTTTCTTGATTTTGCTGTGATTGAGCTAAATTTTTAAATTAAATACAAAATTGACATTTCTTTCCATTGTATCATTTCAAATTGCCTATAACATTAAAGTTTAAGTCATATGTTCTAATTATAACTTAAATCCAATACACTTTGTGATATATAGTCAAATCAATCAAATACTTAACAAGCTTGAATAGATTTATCGTAAGTATCGTGCACCGAGTCGTATGGTACATCACTAGTTACGCCACGATGACAAATGTCAAAATGGGCTTTTTATTTTGTGACGACTGTACTTGAGTACGAGTTTAGAAAGGGATGTCGCTATGTGCTATACAAAGCAAAATCCCTTTGTACAAAACTGTACTCAAGTAAAGATCAACACTTACTTGTCATTCTGTAATACAAGCTTTAGACAGGATAGGATGGAGTCAGGGTTAGGAACGACGCGAGTGGTGATGTGTCGTGCTATTCTGTAAGATCAGACTCACTTTTCATCGCAGAATCGGCGTTATATTTAAAGTTATAATACAAATTTTAAATCCCACCAATAGTACGGCTGGTATCGCCGGCGAATTTAGGCTATGGCGACCGTTTATAATCAGGCGGATTTATGTTACTTGTTTGACAGCCTTTTTACATAAAAAACCTATAGGGGGTGAATTAAAGGTGTGAAAATTGTGTATAGGAGATCGAGTGTTTTAGGAAAATGAAGACGCAAGCACTACCTTAATTTTATATCTGTTAAAGCAAAACATTTCAAATAATTTTAATAAAACGTTTTTTCCTTAATTTTGCAGATTGACAGAGGTATGATTCCGATCCCTAAGTCAACCAATCAAGATCGTTTGCAGCAGAACATCGATTTATTCAACTTCTCCCTCACTCCCGAGGAAGTGGCCACAATCAACAAGTTTAACGTTAACAAATCAGTTTTCGAATAATGTACCTATGCTTACAAAATAAATTCGTAGATTTTAACTTTCTGTCATTTGCACTAAGAATAATTCTCAATTATTCACAGCTTCACAATATGTCGCCGCCAGCTACTAGGAAATGATGGCATCCTATTTGATGCCTAGACCCACAGTTAATTGAATGAGAATTACTCAAAGTTGAAGTATTTAAGTTAGCCAAGAGTCATAGCTAAGAGATTCAAATTTAGCTAAGCTTTTTAGTATTTTCCACTACGGTAGTTAGCAAAACAAACTTGAACTAAAAGATTCTTTTACTCGGAACAATTCCCCGCGGTCCAGGCAGCAGACGGGACTCGAACTCGCATCGTCCGAGGAGCTAAGCGGAGAGTGCAGGTTCGAGTCCAGTTTACTGCCTGGACCGCGTGGAATTTTTTCTAGTAAAAAATCTTTAAATTTAAGCATCTACCATCAAAACTTTGCCTGAAACAGAATGGCATACCGTGTTTTTTTTTATTTCACAAAACTGGTTACAAAGAATAACCATGTAAATATATGCATACAAAAAAAAATCTACAACTTTGCAACCTACTAGATGCAAGCACAACATGCATTTCTAAAACTACCTAACTACTAAGGATATATACTTAGTATAAATATAGCACATATAGGTTAAACTCAATAACTAAAAAATTAAAGTTAAAACTAAAAACTAATGAAACTTAATCAGAGAATATTGATTTTAAGCATTTTCTGGTTGAGGTTTTAGAACCTTTAAATATGTCGAAATCATTTCGAATAGCATTATAGGTTGAAAACATTCTGTAAAGAGGAGAGTGATTCCCGAGTCTTGTCTTACAGGGGGGCAGTACAAATAAAAGTGTTTTATTTATCGATGTATGTTATTAAGTGAGGAAGTAAACAAGTCGTTAGAAGCCAAAAATAGTAACAGCTTGTCTATCCACTTAATCAGTTTCATACAAAGGTGATATTCTCAGGTTACAAAACAAAAGTTGCTTAACTTCAACGATCGCAGCCGAACGCGCTAACCACTTGCGCCATAAATTATTAATGTTTTATCGTCTCAAAGATACCCACTAAACTTTATTCATCAATACCCAATTTTACTAATGACTATATGCAACATTACGCTCAATGACTTGGATAGTTGTCCTTCAGCAGGCATTTCATTGGATACCGGCGTTTAATGATCGGCCGAGGCATCTAATTGGTTGACTAATTTGATCAAATGAATGTGATCTGACAACTAAAATTGACAAGATTCATTACGTTGTGATAGATGGCATAAAGTGTGAAATTTTTTTAACCCAAAATCAATCGTTTTGTTAAACCCTTTGGACAATAGGGTATTTGACAAGTTTTAGAAATCGATCTCACGTTATTGACTAATGTTTATAGAGTCCGTAAAAAGATATTCATCGTTCTGTTACATATTTTAGTAAAAATAACCAAATCAAAAACTCCATTTTCAAGTTGCCGCGAAAACGTTTCTCTGGACAATATGGCGTCTCTCTGGTGTGTGACGTCACACGATTGATATTAAAACGTCAAACGATACAATGTATGTATGTCACTTTAACCGGAAGTTTACTTGCGTGTGACGTCATTTTAGGCTCCGCCAATCCAAAGCGTTTTGGGTCACGTGACAATAGATAAGAAAACTATTAAGTTTTTCGTGGGTTTTTAGTAAAATTATGAATATGTTTTCTGTAAAAATAGTAAAAACCCCTGCCAATATTCATTCTAAACACAGATGCCAATAATTGGCACTTTATGTTTATTACTGTCAAATACCCTATTATTACAATAATTGCGCTCCACAGTTGAACGTCAATAAAACACCAAAAGAGTATTTATATATTTATTTTTGAAGTTTAAAATCATAATATTATAATTTTTCAAAACCATCACATTAAGTACTTATATTCTAAACAAGCTTGACTTGGCAAGTTGGGAAAGTTATTTACCTATTAAATGGGCGGAACGAAATATACACACATCAAAAAAGTTTAAGCAGCACGCAACATTTACAGAAACTGTATGTTCGATTTATTGATATTTATATTTTTATTAACAAAGTACATTGGAATAATATTCTTTTGTTTACGGAACATAATTGGATGATTTTTAAAATAGAAATTTTTCGATTGTATTTATAAGAGTTTAGTGAACTTAACGACAGTGGCAAGTTTAAATCGCTTATACGCCACTTTGGTCGGAAATTAGTTATATTATATATATATATATTATTTAATCAGTTTTTTTCTGCGTCGATCTGTTTATGTTTCGTGTAGATTTCAGTACTTTTTTGGCGCTTACGCCTTTCTATTTGGCGTATGGTTCGATGTTTGCTTGACAAAAAATGTATGGCGGGCCGAGTGATTTCCATTCAAGCGAAATCTAATTCGTTAAGGCACTATGTAAATTTTTTAATAGGAGGATATTTAGAAAATAATATTTTATGAAGACGTTTTTATTTTTATGGCGCTATTTCTCATTTACAATGAATTATGTTTTTTTTTGTGAAAAATGAAAAATTCTATTCTCGTTTTTGTAAAGTCACTAAAGAGACGTTTAAGCGATTTTGATTTTCCACTGTCGATAAAATTACATTCGTAAAAATCGTTCAAAAGTACAAAACCGTACAAAATGTTGCTTAGAGTTATTTGATATAACGTAGCACATTTCAAATTTATGACGATATATACGAGGTCATCAACCTATACTTATTTCGTTGATATAATTCGTGCTTAACTGGACTGAACTGGTAAAAGCGAAAATTGATTTAAACTCATTAATTTATATACACTTTGTCAAAACCTTACTTAACTTAAAGACGGTTAAAAACATTGTCTATCGAGTGGTAAGGTTATTTTTTTCTACTTACTGAATAAAAACTGTATTCCTTGTCAAAGACTTTAAGTAATTTTTAAATTTCATCACACAAAGTAGCAAGCATTAAGTTTACGAATGCTCTCAACTGTGACCGAATACAAATTAAGTATTTAAACTTAAAGTATAGGTAAGCACGCGTCACAAAACCCTGTTAAATTATTTTAATCATACATAATAGTGTGCTCGATATTTTAAGAATATTTTATTATTCTCATTTTCAAGACTAATCACGCAGAATGTTATATAAGCCTCTAAGTACATCCGCGCTTTAAAGTATTCCGAAGGTAAAATTAATTAAAAATATCACATATTTCCAAGTTAACTTACAAGCTGAATTGCTTTACTTATTCTCCTAAGTTTTACAATACTAGAGATTATGTGACGATTTCAATTGATTAATTTGTGGTCTTTTATTTCGAGACCATGTTGTCATTTCACGCCGTAAAATTCTAAAACCAGCGAGCTTTCGACTTTGAATTAGTTACCTCATATTTGAGGAGTGTCCGTTCAAAAGTAGCTATTTACATCAGAATGAATTTAACAGAAAATGCCAAAAACCAATAATTAAAAACGCCTAATATATAGAATAATTTTGTGTGGTACGCTTTACAAGATATAGTTGTCTAATCATCTTTATGAACAAATTTTTTTTAAGTTTATTATTCTTTTAAAAATTAAGAAGTTTGTAAACAGACAGTTTTGATGCAAATGGTAGTAAATAGACACTTTAATTTTGGATCATTTGGTAAATAGACTGGTCTGATACAAAAAAATGTAAATATTTATTGTTGATGAGAAATGTTATATTGCCACGCAGTATTTGAACTCTTTCGTTCAACATCTCAATCAATTCAACGAAAGAATAAAGTAAATAGACCATTATGATTAGAAACTGTATAATCGTAAAATAAAATATATTTAAATTATGTAATGAGCAAGTTTTGAGCATAATTCATATTCTTGATTCTTGAACCTATTATTCTTTTAATAAATTTGTATTTATTAACGAAATTCAAAAAAATCATGTCTCCGCGCCCGATTCGAAAAAAAAACACAACGAGCTCAAAATGTAACTAGCTAGTTTTGAACGGACACTCCTCATATAACCAATTGAAATCGTGATATTATCTAAAATTAAACTACGTAACATCACACATCAGACTTCTAATCACTTGTACAGGATGTCAATTCTGCCACGCTAACGTAATTACCGTGTCTCTATAGTAGTTCAATAATAAATACACAATAAACATATATACATGAACTTTTGTGTTTTAAAAACAATAACTGTATAAAAAAAAACAAAAGTACTGAAACACCATTGGTACACGATTATTACTTAACGTAGCGACAACCTGACGGGAAACGTGTTATATTAAATTCAGAAAATTTTAAAATCAAATATTGTTTATTTTCCCAAAACCAATGAATTTGCCAAGTTGGGACCCAATTAAAGAAGCCTTATGTCTTGTCGAGCAGTGCGCTTCCATTTAGTAATATCTAATGTTGCTATAAAACCTGAATCTGATATGGTTCTCAACAGCAGTCCATACTTTCAATTCTCTGTAGAACTAAAACGCAGTGATCACTTTCTGATACATACATAACATGAAAATTGTCAGGTTCAAGGCCCTTTTCTCACCGGCTGCGTTTGCGTGTTCGTTTAGCTATCGTTTCTATACCAAATCTATACAGATTCTTTACCGAAAACCACTTCTTGAGCGACCTAGTTTCGGTGCGGTATCATTTCGTTTGGTTTGCTACGGTTTTGTTTGCGGGAATCATGGGACGGGCAAGTCGTATGATTCGGTAGAATTCGCTAGCATTCGGGAGCAGTCGGTAGCAGTCGGTAGCATTTAGTTTAGAGAGCTGCGTATCCGCTCGGTAAAGATAATGTACCGGAAATCAGTGAGTAAGTTCTTATTCAATTTAATTATACACACATATGTACTCGGTAAAGCCTCGATGACACGGGGCGACAAGCTACAAGCCAGTGAGTTCGATAGTAGTTTGTAAACTCGCCCCGTATCATCGAGTAGCAGATGGTAAAAAAGTCGATGACTCGGGGCGAGTAGCAAGCTGCTGGTAAACTTGCTGGCTTGTAGCTTGTAAACTCGCCCCGTGTCATCGGCTTTTTATTGATTCGGCGGAATTCGGGTGCAGTCGGCAGCATTTGGTTTAGAGAGCTGCGTATCCGCTTGGTAAAATCTTTACCTGTACCGGAACTCAGTGAGTAATTTCTAATTTAATTTAATTATATATGTTCTCAGTAAAGCCTCGATGACACGGGGCGACAAGCTACAAGCCAATGAGTTCTACTAGTACCATCAAGAAGCAGATGATAAAAAATTCGATGACACGGGGCGAGTTAACAAGCTGCTGGTAAACTTGCTGGCTTGTAGCTTGTAAACTCGCCCCGTGTCATCGAGGGTTAAAGAATCTGTACAGATTCGGCACATAACCGAAAACGAAACGAGGTTTAGAAAATCCTCAGAATAAATATAAGAAAAGAGAATCATGCCCAACAAAACAATGTATTCAACAGAGTGGTGTCGACTAGAAGTTTGACGAGTGGATTGCCCTATACTTATAGCTTACAAACGTCTTGGCTTACTTAATTGAGTGTTACGCGAGCTATCAGTCGATGGCGAGTTGTCTGAAGGAGCCGTCAATGCCGAACAATTCGTCGTAGTTGGTTGGCCGGCCGGGGCGTCGCGACTCGTCTGCCTTGACTGATTCTTGGGCTAAGAACCAATCGCGGTACTCGTTCAGCTTGTACTTCCATTGCTCTGGAATAGAAGAACTACTATTAGCTCTCTTTATACTAACGTTGTTTTAAAACAACATATAGAGAAAAAATATAACCGAAGATGTAGGCACATTAATTTATTTTCATTCATGTTATTTGTTTCTAAGGGTTTCACGCACATCACTCACATCATCACATAGTTTCAAGCATAGACAATAAAGTTTTAAAAATCTTCCAATGAAATATCCAAATGCTTAATCTTTCGGAAGTAGCTCGACAAAGTAAATAAAAAAAGCATTATTTCGACGAAGCATTCCCGAAAAGGGTGCGAAACGTCAATTTATACATATAATAATGTGGTAGGAAAGCCAAAACTGTACATTCAATATTTTTTGTAAAGACTACTTGGGGTGTGATTTACAATCGATACCGAAGCCAAGCCAGTTTGTTATTAAGTCCGGTAGGGGCGTTTGCTTAGTTCTCATAGAAACTTTGACGATGAGATACGCTGTATAACCTGTTCTCGTATAGCCCCAAAAATCTAAAATCGCCCAAAAAGCTAACCCAAAAAATCTAAAAGCGTCCTGTTACATTTTTTTTTTATGTGATAATAGTTTAAGGTCCCAAGGTCTGACAAATATAGGAAAAGTTGCTTATGCCTTTGTGTCGAGATCTATAATAAAATCCCTCCCGACATAAAAATACTGAATATGAACATGTTTAAAAATAAATTATATAAATGGCTAAATGAAAACAATTTTTATGACCTAAAAAGTTTTTTCAATTATAAAAATTAATGACATGTTTTAATTTATCCTATAATAATTATGATAAATGTATCTTTTTAATTTTTTATTTTTTTTTATATCTGACATTTAGAAATCTTGTAATATTAATATGTTGACATTGTATATTTTATTGACATAATATTAGGTAACTCTGACATTCATAATTCTACAGAAAAATGTTATAATTAATTAATCTCTTTTTTTTATTGGTTCCATATTATGTATTTGCATGCTATTTTTAAAATGGCAAAACACGTGCTCAAACCGTTGTGTAATACCTATATACCGTGTTTTTAGCAAATAAAGATTATGATTTATTATGATTTATGATTTAAGTTGGCTTAAGGGGGTTATATAGCTTAGATTAAAACAAAAAGGGTAGATACGGTACGCTCATACTTGCATCAAATAAAATATGATCCGACTCAACTACATAAGCAACTCTCGCCACGCACATGTCTGCACGTTGCACATATAAACATCAATCGAGCGAGCGAGACAGAACTATACGCTACGCTTCGACGCAGCGTGTTGTTGTCCTTTTCTTGCTTACAAAATGGCGATTACGTAAATAATATTCACGACAAACCGTGATTTTTGAGAAAAAAATGTTTTCACAGTTTTACAAATGAAAAGTGTTGCAGGGGCATTTGATTTTGAACTATTTGTCTTCTTTATAAAAGCATCGAAGGCATTGTTATATCTTCATAACACAGAATATACGCAATGTTGTTATATTGAGATGCAGCGTGTTTGAATGTCAAATTGTGACTAAAGCGAATTATGGTCATGGACCACAATTTAAGCGGATCACTTTTGAGCCGCGAATGCCGTATCTTCCCTTTTTGTTTTAATCTAAGCTATATAGCGAGTTTTTTTCTGGAGTTACCAATTTTTTTCTCGAATTGCAATTCGTCTGAATGTATCCTCCACTTTACATAAGACCATTACAGGATAACAATCCGGTTGGCGGGTCTGATTCCAGGGCTCCATAAGGTAAGGAATTGGGCTCAAGTCAACAATGTGAGGAATCATTGAGGATTTATAACTGACTGTTGAATTTGAGTAGGTACAAAATAAAAGAAATAAATATTTCCAACTCTCACATTAATTAGCCTAGCTCCAAAGTAAGCACTGTAGGCTTGTGTTATGGGATACTAGGGTAACAGAAAGAATACAAACACGGATACATATATAACTAACTATATTTATTTAGAAATACATATCAAACGACTGGAATACAAATGCTCGTATTCATCACACAAACATCTGCCCCCACCGTCGAACCCGGGACCTCTCGAGAAGGCGACATCCTGAAACCCGACGTACAAACCACTCGGCCACAGAGGTAGTCTTTAAATATTGACGCTTTATCATGCGGTTTATGTGCCTTCGTGGTTACATGCATGGTCATTATGCGAATATTTCAGTTGGTAAGTAAATGAATATTCATCATTACCAGCCTATTAATGTCCTCACTGCTGGCTCACAGGCCTTCCTTATGGATGGAATAGGGAGATTAGCCCATGGCCCACCACGCGGACTCAGTGAGAATTGGTGGGTGCTAACGACTGCAGATGCAGCCGGCACAAACGGCTTAACGTGCCTTCCGAAGCACGGAGGAGCTCGAGATAGTAAGTCTTGGTCGCCCATCCAATGACCGACCACTGCGAAAGTTGCTTAACTTCAACGACCGTAGCCGAACGCGCTAAATACTTGCGCCATCGAGCTCCTCAAATGAATGAATATTAAAACAACACAACTGTCGAAATCTGGCGGACATGCGCTAGCGTGCGACCTCAATGAACATAAACTTTTTCAGACAAATTCTAATGCGAGTTGCTACAGATTTTTGGTTTAAACTATTTCTTGAATATGGTAATGTTAAAAAGTGCCTATAAGTAAGTTACAGTGATCATTTATCTATATATATAAAACTCAAAGGTGACTGACTGACATAGTGATCTATCAACGCACAGCCCAAACCACTGGACGGATCGGGCTGAAATTTGGCTTCAGCTCTACACCGAAGCGAAGCGAGGGCGGGCCGCTAGTCACAAAATAAAACTTAAACCCCCTTATTAATAAACGCAGACTAAGCTTGGATTAATAACTATGTTTTGACTCTGTTCTTTGAACGCAAATGTAATTTGAGTGATATGAACAAAACACGGCGTTACTAGTCTAAGTTTACTCCTCGTTTAATAATAAGGGGGTAAAGGTTTTGAATTGAAATATGAAATAGGTTTATTCATATTATTTTCGACTTACGTATTGAAAGTTAGTGGTGATGTAGTAAGAATATATAGCATTCTTTGTTACCGTGTTCATCATCATCAGCCTATTTATGTCCCTACTGCTGGGGCATAGGCCTTCCCAATGGATGGAATAGGGAAATTGCGCCATGACCCACCCCGCGGGCCCAATGCGGATTGGCGGGTGCTAACGACTGCAGATGCAGCCGGGACCAACGCCTTAACGTGCACGAAGCACGGAGGAACTCGAGGTAGAAGATTTTTGGTCACCCATCCAATGCCGACCACTGCGAAAGCTGCTTAACTTCAACGATCGCAGCCGAACGCGCTAACCACACGCGCCTTCGAGCTCCTCCTACTGTGTTCAGTAACTGGTTATTCAGTTAACTCGTGAGATTCGTTTAGTACTTTACCTTGTATTTCATCCATGGTACCGCAAGGACCGCCATATTCCACGGGCAACATTTCTTGTGGAATGTACTTGTATAAGTCCTTTACTTCTTTGTGAATGAATATCTGTAATACCAAAATAATGCACATTTTAATATTTAAGGAAAATTTCACTGGACAAAATTCCACTCGGGCCGGGTGTCAGGCTGAAATTTTCTTTAGGTAGGAACATTAAGCTGGTAAATGCTTGTAATAAAAAATTATTAATACACAATAATTATTTGGTTTATATTCCGAGTTTATAGTATATTCTTAAAAAACCTAAAAATACAGTTCGTTTGTACCTAAACAAACTTTTGTATAGCTATATATGATACCTAATTTAATTTAATTTAACAGACGTGTAAGAATAGATAAGATAAGATATATATCTACCTATAAAAAAATCAGTATCCTTATCACGAACCATTATCGAATTCGAATAGTTTGCGAGTCCGAAATGTCATTGTCAAATGTGTACTTACTTTTAGTTCTCGTTACGTCCATTGTGTTGCTGTTGCTATTCAAGATAGACAAAATTTAACTATGACATTTCGTACTCGCAAACTATTCGAATTCGATATTGGGTCTCGTGCTAGGGGTACAGGAACGACTACTTTGGCAAACAATAGGTAAGGATTCAATGCTAACTATAGTGGCATCAATATGGTTGAATAAAAGCAGTCAGTTTTATTGTCAGGAAGTGATTATGTCTGATCCTTACCCTTTTCCTGATCTTCTCCTTAAGGAATGGTTTGACGAAGTTTACAAATCTTTCTACAATAGGCGAAGTGTTTATGATGTGGATTTCCTTAAGTTTCACTGGATACGCTTCCTGGGAAAAATAAAATACAAATAAAAGTACATTTCAAAGCTTCGTATGGAAGAGATCAAATACATATTTTTGTACAATGCACAGCGAACCACCACACCCCATCTGATGTTAGTGGAGGAATCCAGTTATGAAGATCCATTCCCAACTTGCTGGCCTGAACTAAATCCCCTACTTTCTTTAAAAGAGGCGTGAAAACCAACATGCAGGCCAGCAGGATGAGGATGCTGGTGTGGCAGGTAGAAATGCTGTATCAGCTATCTTCGCGTCTGGAATTCACCGTCACTTAACATAAGGTGGGGTGGAGTTACTTGTCAGACCTATCTATAAAAAATACCCTGGAGCTCTGTGAGGTGAGGCAGTTTACTGCGCCATGTACGAAAAAAGAAACGCGATAGGAAAGCGACTTTTCGCTGGAGTTATTTGTTAAAAATTCACTAAGAAAAACTCTTTTTTATGTTAAAAGGGTAGCAAACAAGCGGCCTCCATGGCCTATCAACGCTTGCGATACCAAAAATATCATTCTTTTTTTTTGAGTGTGTGTATGCTGTTAGTCGCAGATGACCTTTACAGCGTCATCAGATTTGGGGACGGCGAGATCCTAAGGGGACCTCAAGCCGAGAATTGGCGAGTGCCAATAGAGGTATTCCAGGCGGACGGCATCTTCTCATGGGGGGGGGGGGGGGTCTCCTCTCCATCTGGAGCCTCTAGACCACTCGAACCTGAGGGGTTTGGCTCAACTAGAGGGGGTCTCTGAGACTCGGACCTCGGCTCTAGTTAGCCGTTGTCGTGGGGGGTAATATCACTCGCACCGTTGTCTACCCTGAGACCCTGACCCAATTCCCTACCCCGTGGAGCCGACGAAACAATATTCGCAGAAAGATGTTTCCAACTGAAGCGGGAAATTTGTAAAAAGCATTGTGTAAATATTTATGTTTAGAAAGTAGATATGTTCGTTATGTTAAATGCAAATTGATACATCACCAACATTATGCACTTAAACTCACCGGGACCTTTGCTTGACTTATGTAAATAGTATCTATTTGGTATTTGACTTACTTTCCCAGCATCAACTAAGGAGGCGTAAGTTTGGGAAGATAACTAAAGATAATCTAAGTATTTGAACTTAAGTAAGTACGTTTTGTATTTGTTTCTAAATGCTGCAACGAGGCAATCGAAGTAGCTTGCGTATTGCCACTTAAAAGTGATAGTTCTCGCTCTTATCATAATAATGGGATAAAACTATAAGCACTGTCGTGAACATTTGCCGTTTCCACCGCGCATCTAACCAAGCAATTGTCACATTTCTGACCCTGTTCTGAAATATGAATGTTGTTTGGCTTGATTTGTCGTAATATATTTAATAGAATTTAATTTGATCTAGTAAAAAAAGTCACTATAGGCTCAGATTACAGAACAAAAGGCTGATGGAGCGCACGGAACACGCAAAGCGTGGCACCGTAACAAATACGAAGCCAAAAGCGACTATCAATTTGCATCAGTACACCACAACGCATGGTGTTGTGAATACGTCCCGTGAATATAAGTTTTTATCAAAACTTTGCTGCCTTGTTCATACATCGTAAAAACTGTATACAAAAATAAAAAGAAGCGTATACTTGTGAATTCGTATTTGCTTTGGTGGCACGCATTCCGTATACCGTGCGATCCATCTGTCTTGTTCATCATCAGCCTATTAATGTCCCAATTGCTGGGGCACATGCCTTCAGAATTGGTGGGTGCTAACTTCACTTCACATACTGACTTCAGATGCAGCCGGGACCAACGGCTTAACGTGCCTTCTGAAGCACGGGGGAACTCGAGATAGAAGATTTTTGGTCACCCATCCAATGACCGACCACTGCGAAAATTGCTTAACTACAACGATAGCAGCCAAACGCGCTAACCACCCGCGCCATCGAGCTCATCCATCTCCATCCAGCCTTTTGTTCTGTAATCTGAGAGTATAGGATTGAGCATACCTGTATACAGATCATGAATTTCTTGATGGTAGCAGGGGATAGTTTAGCCAGGAGACTCGGTCCTAGCACGGCCGCGTCCAGCACGTAGATGTCCCCGGCCACCCCTTCCCTCTCCTCGGTGAGTCGGACGTCACCGATCATCAGGGCCAGCTTCAAGGTGTCTATAATCTCTGCCGTGGTAAGGTTCTGGTGGATACCTATAAACAAGAATGTAAAAATTTTAAACATTACTTTATCTAACACTAAAGGTGTGATTTCACCAGCATTAATTTGAGGACAAAGATTATGGGGCACCCTTGAAAGCTAGTATGCTGTCTCGGAGACTTTTATAGAACTGTAAGAACCTGCGCTGCATTAAGCGGGACACAGAGCGGGCGTCCGCTCCGCGTGCAGTTTTTATGTCATGTCAAAGAGACCCGCCTCACGCAGTGCTTATGAATGAAATAACATGAATCCCGCTTAACGCAGCGCACGCTCTTAAAGGGGGACAATTCCGTCATACATGATTTTGCATAACTTTTACCGTTTACGCTGCGCACGCACCGGAAACTCTGAAACGGAATATTTTTTCCGCTTTTGCAACATTTTTCATCAGCGCTCCGCTCCTATTGTCCATATTGTTATGTTTTTTAGGGTATAGCCAAATGCAATAAATGCAAAATAACAAACACAAAACGTCTTTTTCAAACTGGATGAGTAGTTCATGACATTACAGTGATCAACTAAATATACTCTTCATAATATTAGTCTCATGGTAAGTAAATCTGTACTCTTAAAATTGACCTTTGATACATTATTATATTGTGATCAGCATTATCGCCTATCGTTCTATAACTTAACTAGATTCAATATTTTAATGCTGTATAGTATGTAGGACACGATATGACGAAGTTAACCATAGGGTCAAGTGGGGGCCAGTGTAACAAGGGGCACAGTGTAACAAAAGGAGTATATCTGTATTATATCCGGCCATTGGACGTCTGATGACAGCTGCTTTTTTTTATAAATTTTATGAGCTTGGAATTTGCCATATTAGCCAGTTATTAGTGATATGTCATCTACATCTTGCCAATACTATTTATATCACAAATAGTATTTCATAACACTCCTGGTTTCCAATGAAAGAACGCAAATGCAAGGCAATTATTATTGATTTTAAGAATAGAGACCCTGGATCTGCTTCTCATTTTGATCGATTACTGTTTATTAATGAAAACTTATTGTTTTTTAATGAAAACTCTCGTGATCAATTTAAAGGCCAATATCTTAATTCTTCTTTTTGCAGCTACAAATAAATTTTGAATATGGTATCGCTGTATTTTTTTATGTTAAGAAACAAAACATTTTTAAAAGTTTAAAAGCTAAAATCTTTGGTATTTGCACATAAAATCTAAAAGTATGTTATATTCCAACTGTTAACACTATATTACCACGATTGGGGTCTTTTACGTTAATTCATATGGTAAATACGGAATCATTTGATATTTACAGTTACAAAAACGAGTATTTCATTAATGCCCACCCGAAGAAAGGCCACTTTCATGTCATGAATCAGTAATTTTCATTTTGAAACTCGTATAACGTATCATATTAATTAATGTACCAAAATAGAAATACCGGATCATATTTTTTTTGCTGACTGGGTCAAGGATAACGGTATTAACGAAAAGGAGCATAATCTACGAGTCTAAAACACGGTTATTATGAATCAGGTAGAATCGACCTCTCAAATTTAAAGGTTTTGAAAATGTCTTAATTTATTTCAATACGCAGTAAGATAAACTTAGATGTGAAATCACCAACAAAAAGCCGATCAAGTACGTGTCGTGCCACGCGCAGTGTAGGGTTCCGTAGTTGCCTGTAGTTACCACAATATATTTGAGCAAGAGTCTTTATTTTCTATGTCGGAAATTAGAAAAACCAATTAATATCAATCTATGTATCTCAACTAAAATACTTAAATCAAAGTCAAACTGCGTCTCAAATTCAAAATCAATTCGATGTTATTATATTTTTAAATACGAATGATAACTCAAACTGATAAACTATACTTCTGTGGAACGAACTCCCCCTAGATATTAGAATCTCCACCAACAAAATTAGCTTCAAAACCAAGCTACGAAGCTTTTTACAGGAAAAGCATTCTAGCTTAAACGTTATTCGTCATTATTATGTATTAGTATGTATATTTATATATGTATGTATATGTATAGTTATTTATATGTAAGTAATTATTTATGTATGTGTGATTATATATATGACTGCTTCGTATTTATATATGTTCGTCTTTCTGTAATTTCCATGTAAGTTGTGCACCCTACCACTATTTATCCACAACACCCTATGGTTGATTGGTAGAGAATACCTATGGCATTAAGTCCGCCTTTGTGCCTTGTGCATTAAGTATAAATTAATAAATAAATAACCGCCGTTTAAATTGAGATTTAGCAGAATTCCTACAAGTGGGCCTTAAAACAGAACATGTAATTTAAAACGAAGTACTATTTTAAAGGTAAGATTAGTTTTGCAAAAAACGTAGAATTGCTAGTGCAATGCCCTTCCGTCGTAGTATAATGAACTAATTTGTAGTCAATAACTGGTCAAACCAGTATTTATAAACAGGTGTTTTTCTTTTATCTTCATACTCACATACTTGCATTGGAATGAGTTTTACTGTCAGTGAATATAATTGTGAGCGATGATTAATACGTAATAATAATACCTATATTTACTGTCACATATTTTTTAATAATTTGTCCCTGACTTCTATAATAAGTCAGACACCTGCGGAACAGGGGTTAGTGCCCACTTCCAAATACATAGATTTTGGTAAATAGATAGAATAGCACTTTATTATAACACCTAAAACATAATTAAATAACATTAACAATAAACTTAACAAAAGCCTTATAATTGGCTGAAGTGATTTCTTCTAGACGACCGTGAGTATGAAAAGTTATACAGAGACTCTAGGTTGGGGTGTTATATAGCTTGAAATAAATAGTCACATCCATACATAATATTAAACCCATGTTTTCTAATTAAATATATAAAGAAAACATTTAATAACATATACAGGGTGGCCGGGGAGTTGACGTTCAAGCATAAAATTTAGATACTTTATGATGAGGAGTATCCAAATCACCCCCATGTATGTTCTACGATTTTGCGTAGTTTTCGAGTTATAATTTTTTTAATGATTTTTTTCGTAATTACCACCTAACATCCGTTTTCGATTTTTTTCTCATTCTGTTGGACGTTTCTGGTTCAGTTTTTATGTAATAACTGACTAACATAGTCTAACCTATCATCCTAAAACTTATGGTTTATCTAGGCATTGCAGAATTCACTTAGAATTTGTTCGAAAGTTCAAAATTATGATTTAAGCTCAATACACATAAATTTTCAAAGTATCAAAAAAAAAATGAAAATGAATTTACTTAATTTACTTTGAAGGTCAGTTACAGAAAATAAACCCCCGATTAACCCTATCTTTATTTGACCTCGTTTTAAAGTTTAATGTTTCAGGAAGTTTTTAAAAGCACTTTGAACTAAAAACCCCCCATTTACATTTTTTTTGATACTTTGAAAATTTGTGTGTACTGAGCTCAAATCGTAATTTTGAACTTTCTAACAAATTCTAAGTGAATTCTGCAATGCCTAGATAAACCATAAGTTTTAGGGTGATAGGTTAGACTATGTTAGTCAGTTATCACAAAAAAACTGAACCAGAAACGTCCAACAGAATGAGAAAAAAATCGAAAATGGATGTTAGGTGGTAATTACGAAAAAAATCATTAAAAAATTATAACTCGAAAACTACGCAAAATCGTAGAACATATATGGGGGTGATTTGGATACTCCTCATCATAAAGTATCTAAATTTTACGCTTGAACGTCAACTCCCCGCCCACCCTGCATACAATACATACACATAATTATTTATGTTAACAATACACAGCTTTGCATATAATTTTTAAGTTAAGTATTGCGATATCCACTATTATTTCAACATAATAAATACTTTGTACTTGGTCCTGCGAGACCTTTTAACTTTTTTTTATTTATTGTAACTTCCGTTTGATGTTTTTTTGAGAAAAATGTAGCCCAATGCCACTGTAGCTTATATATCAGGATATATTATATTAGTGTTACAGTAGTAGTACTTGAGAATAACATATTGTTTTTATCTCTAGTTTTCTGTAAACCGACATAAGCTTGCATTCAATCAGATATTAATAATAACAATATTCTTTATTGATATACACGTCACAGAACATAATTATAAGACATTATACATGACAGTGAAAACGTACACAATAGGCGGCCTTATTGCTTAGCAGCAATCTTATATAAAAATTATTACGCATCAAGTGTCAAGTATTCAAATACGCAACGCCATTACCTACGTACGTACATAATTGAAAAAGATGCCTCTGTTGTTAAATGCCCACAACTTACAAATACTGCAAATGTTAATGTTATTCAACTAAGAATAGGACCAACTGAGCGCCATATTGTAACGTTAGGTATAGCTGTCAGTTCAAACCACTTAGGTAGAGTGAGCAAAAAAGTTTTTCTTTAATAAAACTTATTTACCAAGATTAATTGAATATGAAAGAAAAAATATCAGATTTTTAATAATAATTATTTATTTATTAAGACTGAGTGAGAAAAAAACATTAATCAGAATCTAGCTACGTCGGAGTAGTCATCATCATCGTCATCATCATCACTGCTGCTTTCGGTTATAAAATAAAATATTAATTATTGTAGGTATTAAAACGACATCTTTATTTCAAATAAAAACGGTCTTTTTATTACCTGTATTTATAATAAAAAAAACTTATATTTAACTTTTCCAGTACTCATTTTCTATATGATTTATTTCCTACTTTTGCTTACAAATGTTTGGTTTTTATTCTAAGTTTAGTTTCAGTGCTGAAAAAAGCGTTCCGAATTTTTTTTGCAAACCGTACTTTTCAAGCGACATTTGACAGATGGAGGTCATTGGCTTTTCTATTCTTATTTGAATCGCATAGTTAGTGCTATGTTAATTATACATAGTAGATGACGAAAAACAAAATTAGGAAACCTTGAAATAAAAATAAAGATATTTAACTTTTTAAGGCACTTCGAATTGGTATTAAAGCGCCCTTTGCTAACTTTTTCAATTATTCCTGACGTTACAAGATAAAAATCGTTTTGTTTAAATACAGCATTTTAACAAAACGATTTTTATCTTGTGCATGAAAACATACGACAAAATATTATTTGACTTACCTCTACATATTGTGACTCTTCTTCCGTTTGGCGTCAGACCAGAAAGTGGTGGCCCTTGTCTGCAAAACACACGGACAAGCTTAGTGAATTTGCATCAAATACCCACACATGTCAGTGGGTACTTCCATGTAAATCAAAAGGTAAAGTTTCTTTTCACATTGCTGAAGTCAATTGAGATTAGGCCATAATCCATCACGCGGGCCCAGTGCAAATTGGTGGGTGCTTAAGACTGCAGATGCAGCCGGGACTAACTTAATAAATTCAAATTCAAGAATTCTTTGTTTAAATCGAAAGCATAATACAATTCTTTTGAAACATATTTCTTTTCCCTACGTTATTTTTAGCTGTGGAGAAAATGGAATCTACTCAGCGTTAAATAGTTATGTAACAATATTTACAAAATATAATATTGTTACGGTATAAATACAAAATCATGTCATCTTTATCTTAATTATAGAGTTAGCCTATCGGAACGTTTGCACCAGTTTAAAGCCAAGCATTTATGTACGAAATAAAATCAGACACCTTATTATAATAATAAATAAGTTTCGGCTTTATTAAAAAAACCTTTTTAAAAGTAACTTTGAAATTTTTCATATTATAAAGCATACTAAGTTGAAACTGATTGAAGTTAAATATAAAATAAAGATAACATTATATACCATAATTTTTGACGTATTCCTACGCCAGGTTTTTGCGAAGCTCCGTGGTATATTTATTTATACTTTATTGCACAAATGAGTGTACAAGTGGCGGCCTTAATGCCATTAGGCATTCTCTACCAGTCAACCGGAGAATTATAGCAAAAATCTTAAGAAGGTAGTCCAAAAAGAATTCATCAAATTACTTTTTATAATTAAAGTATATCTATGGAAACAAGATAATATACGTATACTACATAAAATACATATATATAAACATACATAAATAATAATATATGTTGGAAACAAAACCAGTATGGTGAGAGGGAATAGCTAGAGTTTGTTTGCCGCTAGACCGAAGATTGAGATTATGGTTACTACCAAGATATCGAAATTTACATTTCAAATATCCAGGAGCACATGTATCATTAATGATTGAATTGGTGTAGAAACAATTCGAAGATTGCGACGTTGGCGAAATGTTCACCAATTTAATTTCTTTCAGTATATACGGTTGATAACACTTTTACTAGGTATAGAATTATTGTGTTCAAAAATTAAAATGTGTAGCCAGAGAGAAATGACGTGATGAGCCTTCCACAGCTCGGAGGAGCTCAAATTAATAAAATCTTAATCGATAAACGGCTATTGTGTAAGTCGGCAACTTATACAATAGCAAATACCACACAAACGACACATATCATCCTCATTCAATTTATGTCATTGTTTAAAATTCAAAACAATCTTTATGCAAATGTATCAAAAATCAACTCCAACAACAAAAGGAGTCTGATCAATGACTGTGTTTCGTAATAGGTAGGTACTATTGTCAGTGTTGTTTCAAGGCACATTACGTCTCGTCGCGTGCGCACCTTGAATCAAGGCCAAGATCTTCCCGCGTAATGCTGCAACTAAAACGATGACTGCGTGCGTAGTATTTAGAAGTGAACAACCTGTTGTGTCAATTCTGTCAATTCCTTTGATATATTATGCATGCGGTTTGCTACAATACTCGGGTATGCACAGTATAGTCAGCAATAGGACTACGTCCAAAAAAATTAAAATTCGACACACTGACTTAAATGTTGACTGAATAAAAATATTAAGTTCAGGTTTTTACAAGCACATAAAAATGTCAAAACGGCAACAGCAAAATAAATTTTGGGAGAATGTACTGAGAAAAAGCCGGCTAGAAATTCAGGGCGGGCTGCTTTTTTCTCCCTGTTTTATTCCTAGGTCAAAAATCAAATAAATTAGGCAGCTGACCAAAAACTTCTCTCACTATTATTCATCATGCAACTACTCTGATATTTAACACTTTTTATTTATTATGTTCGACCGAGTAAGTACTTTTTGTGTTATCAAATATGCAATGGAAATTTTTTAAACTTTCCTTTAAAAATAGCTTTATAAAAGTCCATTGAAAAAGTTTGAAAAATTTGTAAAGGACTCCGCAGAATCCTTATGGAAGCTGGCTCTCGGCCAATTTTTCTGTAACTTTGGGAGATGGTAGCTATGACACGTGGAATAAAAGATCCCATGGGCCCAATGACCAAAAGTTCATAGATGTGGAGCTACAGTGTGTCAAAGTCGAAAATGTACGGCTGTATATTATTGAAATGTATGTTTCTGTTGAACGGGAATTCAGAAATGGTTTTGGTGATGTATATATATGTTTTTCGTGTCACTGAATCCGAATCCAGAGTCTATTCGATCCAGTCGGGTCAACAACAAGGTCAGTTCAAGGCCAAATCCAGAGACATCCTGTAATGGAATAGCTACATTGAAACTAGAATGAAATACGCTTTTCCATGTAAGTTCTGAATTCAGGTTATAATCTGTACAGATTCGGTACAGAAGCGAAAACGAAACGAGCCCGCAGCGACCCGGTGAGAAAGGCGCCTTACACTGGTTAATGCGTTTGTGTCCACAAGTTGATTGATAAGGTCACACGACGTAATGTGGGCTCCTCTCTTATCTGTTGATTACACTCTGATAAAAGATCACGGATTTATATGACTGACGGGGCTTCTTCTTGTGAATTCATAACGAATAAATAGCTACATGTAACCAAACATATTTTCAAGATATTTCAAAATCGAATTCCTATTACAAAGTTAGCAAATTAATGCCTACTCGCCTTTAACTGAGTCAGCTTAATGAGAGAAAAATAGCTCAGCTGAACAGAGAAATAGTTTTTTGTTTCAAAGTTAACTAACTTTATTATTTTGAAATGAATGAAATAATTTCCGCACCCGTTTGTTCAGCTATCGTGAGTAAGGTAAGGTTGCAGAGCTCCACAAGGTACACTTTTTTGCCGTTCTGACTTCACTAACACTTAACATCGTTAATTAGGCACTTAACATTTGAAAAAGGGAAATTACGATACAAAAAATTATATTTTGGTATATTTGAAATAAATGTCAGTTTCAATTTCAAGCTACGATATGATTCGAAATTAATGCCTTTCCATTACCATTAAAGATTTCTAATTGTAACTTATGCACAAAAATATTGAAAAGTAGCGAAAGCCAGGCTTTCTCAACATGCCATTTTGTATCAACTTAGATCTATATTAATTATTATAAGTATATAATGAAAAACAAAACATTGAAATAGGTGGTCCACCTGATAGAAATCTGTTTTTCTAACTAAAATAGATACTTGGCGATCATATATAATAATACTCGCGAGTTTTATAATATGAGAGCGCCAAAACATAAAAAGCATTATCCCTTACTCAGGGGATGATCGCACCAGATGAAGCCTGTAAGGGCCATATGGCCATAGGCACCCTAAACGGGGTTTTTAAGTTAGTAATGCCAATTTTTACCAATCAATCCCTAACGGATTCATAAGTAGGTGTCACTTACGTTAAGTAACTTCTAAATCGTAAACTTAATTAAATTCGTCTAATAAGGTAGCTCCTGACTAAGAGATAGCTTTGTTTTTTTTTTGTGTTCTTACCGTTGTCGATGTTTCATCGATAAAATAAATATTCATCTGCATCTTTAAAATTAAACGCTTGGAAATGAAATAAAGAATATTATGTTACACATATAAGGCTATAACTATATATATAAAATATACTAAATTATGATTTTATGTAGCTTTAGTAGTCTGTGCACGATTTTACGTTTGCTTCGTTTTTTTAATGTTAATGTCAAAAGCGCCAAAAGTTATGCGCAATTTTATTTCTCTCGCGGCCAGGGACTTATAAAGGATAAATAAAATTACTGTGTTGTGGTGTTAAAGTTGTTGGTTGTGTGATTTAATAAATTAAAATTTGAAAATAGCTGATTTTTTTAATTACACGCATATAATAAATAGTAAATTACACTATCTTTCATGCTTATGAAACCTACACACATGGTATTTGTTGTAAGGGTAGGTAGATACTTACCTGTTACCTTTATAATTTAGGAGATGCTTTACTTTATCAAATAATTAAAAAACACTTTCTTTAAATAACCTTTATCGAGCGAAGAAATCGATGTCGTAATATTTTTCAAAGTTCTTTGATCTTTCACGGTAAATTCGTGGTCTTTTTGGCTATCTTTGACTTGAAATCATTTCCACAGTGTCGAACGCATCTAGATTCTCAAAAAACTGATCTAAATAACTGTTCATTGAAGAAAAATACACGTACTTTTAATAATAAATTATCACACGAATGCTAAATAACGTTAGGTAGCCGATAGGGAGCGCAAAATCGGGGCCTTAAATATTAAGAGTTCCTTAAGCTTTAAGGTGGTACTTAAGGGTTGGTGAAAACGAATTTGTTTATAAGAGTTCCCTAAATACCGCTTAAGAGTGCCCTAAACCTAAGAGAATCTTGGTAAAAACGGGCATGAGAGTCTTACATGATCCTGCAGCTAGCTGTATTTCACATCCGCTCCCCCGCCTAGGAAAAAAAGGCGCCAACAAAAGTAACATTTGTTTGTATTTGGATTACAACTTTGATCCCGGATGGCAAATGTTACAATATTTGATCACGGCTCTCGCAAGCACACTTAACTCAGAGTGGTTTTTAGTAAGAATGACGCGAGATCTCAAGTAAAAAGTCCTCTCATATATAATGTTTGTAATGCTCTTAAAATAGTGGCTGTTAACATATTACATGAGGCGTGGACCAATAATGAATAATACATTAATGCGGATATAAACAACATTACTACGTGCAACGTAAAACAATTTTACATTAATCAGATTTCATATCTTACGACAGTAGTTCTTATTATTCATGACATTAGCCACTGGACACTGCCAATCAAACAACATATTGATAATTATATTATCATCATCAAGCATATTAATGTCCACTCTTCTGGAGTACAGGCCTTTAAACTCAAAACTCGCAATAATTTATTCAGTCTAGGCTGTTAAAACCCCTTAAGAGATTCAAATGCTATGCTATCCTGAGATTAAATCAAAAAGGGATGCCATAAGTTTGCAAGTCACGACGGGAGACCTTGCACGGGGAAGAACTGACTAGAAACAGTAAAGGATATTTTTCCGTACGGTGTCGTCAATTGAAAGATCTAAATGAATCGAATGGATGATATACAGAGGTAGGTTGGTTTCTCTGTAGTTTTTTGATTGACCTACAGTTAAATCTTGTACGGAATGCTTCGCGTGTAAGAGCAACTATCATTTGGCTGGTTTATAAAGTCAGTTGAAAAGTAAACAAAAAAAATATGGAGAAAGGGTGAGACCTTGGCGGGATTGCATCACATAACGTGCAAGTCTAGACGTGAGATGGATTGGTCTAGATACTGGATTTTATTAATGCTGATCGGATAACGGATAGCCTCCTTTCCAATATTCGAACCGCAAAGATACATGTTGCTTTTATTTATTCAACGGAAACGCAGCCTTATTGTGTACTTTTAAATTGTATAATATATTTTTATTTTTAAGCTCAATTTATACGATTTATGAAGAGTGTGAGAAGGGTTTCAATACTTTAAACTTCAACAATAGTCTAGGCTTTGGAATTTTCTGGTTGGTTTTTGGAGCATTTTATGCAAATCTTGTTCTGACAAATACGAGATTAAGTTTGTTGCGCTGGTATCAGAGTAAAATCAACTTACACTTTAGTAGAAAATATATCGTCAAGCTCGGGGCTAGTCGGGTCCCTGTTGGCGAAGAACTCTGGACATGCGGCCCTCATGGTGAAGTACATGTCGAGTTTCCTCTTACACTTCTCCAGGGAGTAGCTGCTGCCTCGTAGGAAGGTCATCAAAGGTCCGTCCTCTGCAATAGAAATAAGTAGGTTAGCTTTAGAAAGCTTTTTATTTTATTTTAACAGGTTAGCAAACAAACATATGGCCTGGCTGATGGTAAGCGGCCACAATAAGAAAGTGACTTCATGAGTTATCTCATATTGAAGTCATTTTTCAATTTGACGACTCTGTATACAATACAGGGAGAAAAAAAACAGCCCTTGCTGAGTTTCTTGCTGATTCTTCTCAGTACAAGGTCTCCCGCAGTAGATTTGCGAACCGATAGCGTAGCTTTTAGACATTAACAAGTTCTTGTAACAGCCTAGACTGAATAAAGGATATTGAATTTTGAATAGTTTATAGATAATTGCGAAACCAAAGCTATCACTTGGTCCCTGCGCTCGCGCCGTTGCCTAACGAATAGATTTTATGTTTAACTTTTTATCTATACTATTATATAAAGAGAGAAAAGGATACACTGACAGACTGATTGACTGACTGACTGTCTGATGCATGAACGCACAACCGAAACTGCTGGACCTAGAATGATGAAATTTGGACAGTAGATTCCTATTATTGCCTAGACAAGTAGCTTGAAAGCTTTGAAACTTGGCTTAGATCATCATCAGGGCCGCGGTAGCATAATGGTTAGTGCATTCGCCCGGATAGCGAAGAGTGCAGGTTCGAGTCCCGTCTGCTACCTGTTCCACGTGGATTTTTTTCTAGTAAAATTTTCTTTACATTTGAATATCCAGGAGTTAAAAAGAATATATAACTACATCTTATTTTGATTATTTCAAATTATGGCTTACCCCATTCGTCGGGCAAATGTGGTTGCTTTCTGAGCCACTCTTTGATGGTGGCCAAGTCCTTGTCCCTTGTGGCGATGTCTTCATTCAGCTCAGCTCGCGTCTTTTTCCAAATCTCCCCTGAAGGTTGTACCAGGATCTCGGTTTTTATCTTCATTTTGTACTGCAAAAGAAAGTCAATGTTTTATAAAAATCATTAAGCTTAACTTTGTATTAGATATAAAGCGTATAATAATATTTCCCACTTATTTATAATTGACATTGAGATTATTATATCTTACAGACGGATCTCAAGGTGTCGGTCGATTAAATTTGATGAGTTCAAAGTAAAAGAGATTGCTCAGCTTCCATACATGTTTGATGTAAAGACCAATAATCATGAAAAATTGTTTCCTAGATTCGTTATTATATATAAATTACTGTAGAAACGAGTATTATTGACGGACACCCCTGAGAACTTCTATAAAGCATATACACTGAACATATTAAAATAATACAAAACAAATAAGTTATATAGTAAACTAGAGAAATCAAGCCAAGAACCGAAATTATGGATTAGATTCAGGCATATAGAGCATGTAGATTAACAGATAGTTGCCGGTTTTTAAAGTTAATGCATAAGAGTAACTTTTAAAATCAGGTGTCATCTATGCATTTCCGGTTATAATAAGGTACTCTGTGACAGAAACTGTGTGATGATTGTGAATGAGCCACAGATTAGAGAAAATTTTTAAACTCTCGTTAACCAAAGAAAGCTAAGAGATTTAGGTTATATAGCCATATATTCAGTACATTCATTATTTTTGTTATGTTTTAAATATAACCATATTTTAGATTTTTAGTGTATCACACCTTATAATTTTATTTATTTATTAATTAAAGTCAGACAACGTAGGCCCTTAGGCCGTACCTTAAAGTCTAACATTTAAACAGATTATAATGTGTTTATGGAGGTGTTTGGCGAAAAATGTATGGCAATAGACTTTATGATGTCGCCTACCATCTATAATAATTGTCTGAGCACATTTGCATGTAGTGAAAATGATAGGAAAGTTGTGGATATTAATACCACAGTGTAATAAAAAAAAATGATTTATTTTATCGATCTTGAAGTGACTGAGGAATTGTCAGATGATGGGAACCATTATTTGTGGATCTACATTGACAAATTGTGTTTAAACATTGGCGCTATTTATAAACCTGGTAGTACAAACCTAAACGCTTTTTTAGAGAAATATTCTTTGCAATTAGAGCGGCGAAAAAGATCAGTTATTTTCGGTGATTTCAATATAGATTTACTCAGCGCGGACCAACAAATGAACAAGTATGTGAGCGAAACAAAAGAAACCGGATATGAAATAATAAATAAAATTGATAAAAATTACTGCACTCGTGAAACTAGCACCACAAAGACAATATTGGACCATGTTTGTACGGACATAAAAAATCACACATTTAACATGTCGATAATAGAATCATCCCTTTCTGATCACAAACAGATTTTTGTTCAAATTGGTAGTTTGCCGCAGCAAGTGAATAAAAAAATATACTACCAGGCATTAGACTACGAGAAATTACACAGTACCGCCATGAAGGCTGACTACATAAACGACACTAATGATTACAACTATCTAGAGAGTTTTATCACAGAACAGGTGTGTAAAAATAAAGTGGAAAAAACAAAATACATAAACCCACCCCAAGAAGACTGGGTATCGAAAGATATTATTGGCTTAATTAATTCACGTAATATCTTATGGCAACAAGCAGTAATGACCCCTAGAGATGAAAAAATCCAGAAAAACTTTATTCAGCTACAAAAACAAGTGAAGACCCTTATCAAGATACGAAAAGACAACTATTATCTCTCATTGTTTCACAAAAATCAATCAGATCCGAAGAAAATGTGGGAACTAATAAACAACTTAGCTTCAAACAAAATCAAGGCAGGTAGTGCTCCCTCAAAATTAATATCGGATACCGGACTTACTATAACTGAAGGTAAAGAAATCTGTAATTTGTTTATTTGTTTCTTTTCGACCATTGGTTCAAAATTAGCTGGACAGATACCGACCACTTATCACCAGAATACCGGGAATACACTTATGTTTAATAGTGATTACACACACAACTTAACACTTAACGAGCTTAAACCATGTAGCACAACTGAAATATGTAATATTATTGACAACCTAGATAGTAACACTAGTACTGGTCTGGATGGAATAAGCACAAAAGCAATCAAGTGCCTGAAGGACGTGATTGCCGATAGGTTAGCGAAATGTATCAACGAGTGCTTATTGCGCGGTGTTTTTCCCGATTCACTAAAAGTTGCTAAAGTTAGTCCCATTTATAAATCCGGAAGTAAAACAGACCCTAGTAATTACAGGCCGGTGTCTGTCCTTCCTGTCATTTCAAAAATTTTTGAACGTGTTTTGTATGACCGCCTAAACACTTATATAACAGATAAAAAATTACTAATTGAACAACAGTACGGCTTCCGTCCGAAATCGGGAACGCTGAATGCTGCTGTAGACCTAATTACAAAAATAAAAACCAACATTGATCAAAAGAACATAGCTTTAGGCATTTTCATCGACTTAAAAAAATGTTTTGATACAGTAAGCCATCAAAAATTACTACAAAAACTAAATAATATAGGTATTACTGGCGCCGCTCTTGATATGTTTTCATCATATTTAAGAAATCGTCATCAAATCGTAAAAATTGATAATTTCACTAGTTTTTCGTGTCACGTGACTTTCGGCATCCCTCAAGGGTCGATTATTGGCCCATTGCTTTTTTTAATTTACACAAATAATATCGCTAAAATAGGACTCAAAGGGCATATAACCTTGTATGCAGACGACACCTGCCTGTTTTATTTCGGGAAATCTATACACGACATTATACACACCGCGCAGCAAGATCTCGACATACTAAGTGAATGGTTAAAATTTAATTTACTAACTATCAATACGTCTAAAACATCCTTCACGATCTTTTGTTCTAAAAATAAACATTTACCAAATTTTACGCCACTAACTATAAATAGCGAATTAATACAACGATCTTATCGTGAAAAGTATCTTGGACTGTGGATAGATGACAAACTTACCTGGAAATGGCATATTGATCACCTTAAAATGAAATTAACTTCATTATTAGGAGCATTACGTAAGATAGCTAGTTGTATACCAAGTAAAGTTCGTAATATAATCTACAATTCTCTAGTCAAATCACATTTGGAATATTTAATAGAAGTATGGGGGTCAGCCGCTGCAACTTACTTAAATCCACTACAAAGACTACAAAATAAAATTGTTAAGGTGCTATTTCGTTACCATTATTTAACGCCAACAAAAGAATTATACAAAAAGACTAATTTATTTAATCTTAAACAAATATATACATATTGCGCATGCGTCCTAATAAAAAATATAACTACAAATTCCATCCAAACCAATATCACATTACATAAAAAGATTTATAAGCATAATCTTAGAAACAAAAATAAACTTCAACTTTGTAAAGCACGAACTAATTACGGACAAAAAACGATATTATTTGAGGGAGTACAGATGTACAATGGGTTGCCAAGCGACATTGTGGAATGTGATAGCAAAGAAATGTTTAAAACTAAATTAAAAGAATACGTATTGTCACTGTAAGGAAAGTTTTATATTTCACTTCCGCCTAAGGAATAATCGAGTCGATTTAGTTTTATTTATATTTTTTAATAATATTATTGTTTTGTTATTTACATAAGAATAACATTGTGAATGCTCATAAGATCAAATAACTTACTATTGTTAACACTGGGCTTTGAACAATTAAGTCATAAAACAAGAAAGATTACTTTTTAAGGGTGTTGAACTTAAGTATTAGTATCAATTTTGTAACTGAAATATCCGATGTTCCAAAAGGAGCAATAAGTAATACACAACTGCATGTTATTTCTATATTCTCATTTTAAGTGGACTGTATGTCTTTATGGGAAATAAATTATCTTTGAACCTATCTTTACAAAATAGATTTGTTTGTATGTTAAATAAACAACTTCGATCAGTCTTTGGCTGAATGTTACTACACCCATAGCCATTAAAAATGATTCCTATGTTTTCGTAAATATATTAAACAAAGGTGTCTGTTGAAATCTAATGACTGTTAATTAAATTATAAATTACGCCAAGCATTACCGTTTATGTCAATATTTTTTGTGCATTTGGGCCAATTTGAGCAATCTCCTTTAATGCGTGTTGTAGTGACGTATTGTTATTGATTTGGCGCTAACGACCAATTAGTTCTAGTAGACAATACACGAAAAGCTGGTTGGCGCAGGTGGTCAGTGTGTTCGGCCTGCGATTTTGGAAGTTAAGAAACTTGACTTCTTCAAGGCCAGAGTGGACAGGCATCTTCTAGGCAGGCGTGTACCATCTTAGGCTTCATCATCACTTTCCATCAGGCGAGATTGTGGTCAAACGCCTTACCTAATAAGCATTAAAAAAAACTTTCGCAATGGTTGGTGACTAAAAATTTATTGTCTCTAGCTCCTCCGTGCTTCGAAAGGCATGTTAAGGTGTTGGTTACATCTGCATTAGCAGCATCAGCACCAACCAATCCGCACTGAGCCTGCGTGGTGGGTCATAATATATCTCTATTGCATCCATATGGAAGGCCTGTGCTCCAGCAATGGGAACATTCATAGGCAGAGCAGAGGTAGAGCATAGCGGGCATTTTGCTCGGATTGGAGCTCCAGCCTGTGGAAGTACCCTCCCGCTTCCAGAATCCCACAATAAAATAACACTTCCTCTTGGTGTTGTTGTGTTTCTGTCAGTGAAGTAGGTTCCAGGGCTCGGGGATCGGGTTAGGGTAGGCAATGGCGTGAGTGATATTTTTAATACAGCAAGCGTCTATAGGCTATGGTGCCGTTTACTATCAGGCTGTTCATATGCTTCTTTGCCTCCTTTTTCATATAAAAAAATATAGGGAAACCCAACGTCGTCATGTTAAGCCGGGTACTCATTAGCGAGCTGTAACCGTAACATGCGTGATACAGTACTCGCTGCAAACCGCACCGCTCGCAGCAGGTTAGCGAACCACGTACACACTATGCTTTTTGGATACAGTGCATGCAACGGTTACGGTTACAGTTCGCTAATG